AAGCTTGGGAAGTCACTGTAAAAAAAAAAAAAAAACACACATGAACAGTAGGATTATAAATTCAAAAGGTGAAGATAAAGGAGACTTTAGAAAGTGCTTCTGAGCTATACTGATCACTGGGCTACTTGCGAGAGCTTAAGGTAAATGCCACTTACCGCTGCACAAATTCCTTTACAGCACAGGGCGCTGTACTCGTCTCTCCCTTCTGTGACAAAAATAACCCAACCCCCTAAAACTCCAAAGCCTGGGCACCATCAAGCGGCCGATCTTGCAACAGCAATGCTGTACGTGGGGGAGCATCCATTAAAAATTTTGATTCCCTGCCGACCAGAGAAACCCAGCAATATTCCCTCCCTTTAGTTTACAGCGGACATAACATGGAAACTTACAACAGTAAGGTGATATTGCAAATAGTGAAAATTATAAATTAAGGAAAACCATCCCATTTAAAAAAAACCAAAAAACCAAAAACCAAGAAAAACAAAACCAAAAACCAACACCCCCAGCCATTTAAAACCGCCTACGCAGACACATTAGTTACGGAAAGTTCATTAACAGTAAACTCGAGAGCAGTATATCAAAGTACTCGTTCAGTAGTAAGAAAACCCCCCCCCCAAAAAAAAAAGTAAAAAAAAGGCAGCGTTAAGAGAAAGAAAAACCCCCCCAAAAAAAAAAAAAAAAACCCAAAAAAAAAAAAAAGCCCCCAAACCTTTAAACGCGAACATTGCAGACTAAGAAGCAATGAAGTGTTTCTTACTTGACTTTCAGCCCTTTTATTGAAAAAGTGGGTGGCTCTTAAAAGAGCCTTTGGGTTAAAAGCAGTATTCCTGCCAAGGCTTTACTTGGAGCTGGTGTACTTGGTGACGGCCTTGGTGCCCTCGGACACGGCGTGCTTGGCCAGCTCGCCGGGCAGCAGCAGGCGCACGGCCGTCTGGATCTCCCGCGACGTGATGGTGGAGCGCTTGTTGTAGTGCGCCAGGCGCGACGCCTCGCCCGCGATGCGCTCGAAGATGTCGTTGACGAAGGAGTTCATGATGCCCATGGCCTTGGACGAGATGCCCGTGTCGGGGTGCACCTGCTTCAGCACCTTGTACACGTAGATCGAGTAGCTCTCCTTGCGGCTCTTCTTGCGCTTCTTGTCGCCCTTCTTCTGCGTCTTCGTCACCGCCTTCTTCGAGCCCTTCTTGGGCGCGGGCGCGGATTTGGCCGGCTCGGGCATGGCGACTGCGGCTCGACTGCTGCGACCACGGAGCGGCTGCAGAAACAACCCGGGCGGGAAGTGAGGAGCGCGGCTGCGTGACACCTATTTATAGCGCGCCTATGCAAATGAGCGGATTGTACTCTGCGCGCTCTCATTGGTCAGACCGCAAAGTGATGTCAGCACTCCCCAGTATTCGCGTCTGATTGGCCAGATTTGGATCCGCTTTTTCATTGGCTGTTTGCAGAAGACCTAATTCTCAGCCTATCAGCGAAGGGCTGAGGCAGTAAAGCGAGCGCGGGGCCGGGCAGCGCTGAGTGCTGCTGTGCCGCGCTGCGCGTTCGTGTGCCGGGACACCGAGAGAGAGCGAGAGACCGAGGGAAGGAAGGAAGATGTCCGGGCGCGGGAAGCAGGGCGGGAAGGCGCGCGCCAAGGCCAAGTCGCGCTCGTCGCGGGCCGGGCTGCAGTTCCCTGTCGGCCGTGTCCATCGGCTCCTCCGGAAAGGTAACTACGCGGAGCGGGTGGGCGCTGGAGCTCCCGTCTACATGGCGGCCGTGCTGGAGTACCTGACGGCCGAGATCCTGGAGCTGGCGGGCAACGCGGCGCGCGACAACAAGAAGACGCGCATCATCCCCCGCCACCTGCAGCTCGCCATCCGCAACGACGAGGAGCTCAACAAGCTGCTGGGCAAGGTGACGATCGCGCAGGGCGGCGTGCTGCCCAACATCCAGGCCGTGCTGCTGCCCAAGAAGACCGACAGCCACAAGGCCAAAGCCAAGTGAACCTGAAAGGCTAAGCGGCACTTTTGCTTTTCTGGAAAAACCCAAAGGCTCTTTTCAGAGCCACCCACAAGGTCCTAAGAGAGCTGAGTTATCTAAACAGTGAAAGCCGTTTTGTATTAATTACTCAATTCTTGTTTCAACTTTTTTTTTATTTTTTGGTTGGATAAAGTAGCAATGTTTTTCAATCTTTTGTTAACAAAGTCTTGCCAAAACGTCCTCCTCTCCATGCAATTTCTTCCTGGTATGGGGTATTTTCCGTTCAGTTCTTACGCTGAGAACATACGGACAGCATTTGTTGGGCTCCTGCCCCTCCTCCCTTTTTCGCCTCTTTTCTTCCCCGAGCGGCCGACACAGCTCCAGAGGCGTCGGCGTCTGCGGGGGAGGGAGGGGGAAGGGCGGCGGGCCGGGGTTTCCGCTGGCCAATCCTTGGGCAGGGCGGGCTTTTTCAATACTTAAAGCTTTCTTTCTCATCAGGAACAAAGGGATTGGGAAAGATCTGGGCTATTTTTGTGTCAGTAAAGAAACCCTCCCCTCTTCCCCCCAAACAAAGGCATTTACGGAGACACCTTAAGAGAAATAATTCAATAATTAGACATGGCTCAGTAGTAGCGTGCCTGGCAATTGCATTATTTTGTTACAAAATATATCTTTAAAAAAACGTACATCCGATTTTTTATCAAATCATTATAAAACATTTGTTTCTTGGTAGTCAAAGTAATCACTTGGAGGAAAAACAAAAGTCTACACTTCCCTAAAGTCGCCGCGTTCTACCGCGTTCTTAAGTCTTTCTTTCGGTAATCCCTAGGAAACAAAAGACACAAGACACAATTGACCTCTTGACGACTTACGAATTGCTGGACCCCTGCTGCAGGGTACGGACGACCTCGGTGCATCAGCTCCTTTAGGGAAAGTGTGGGTGGCTCTTAAAAGAGCCGTTGGATAACAAAATATGCAGAACAAAACTCTCCTGGTACGATTTACTTCTTTTTGGGCGCCGCCTTCTTCGCCTTGGCCGCTTTGGGTTTGGCCGCCTTGGGCTTGGCCGCTTTGGGCTTCACCGCCTTCGCCTTGGCCGGGCTCTTCGCTGCCTTCTTGGGGCGCCCGGCCTTGGCGGCTTTCTTGGGGCTCTTGGCCGCTTTCTTGGCCGCTGCAGCCGCCGGCTTCTTCGCCTTCTTGGGGCTCTTCTTCACCGCCGCCGCCTTCTTGGGCTTCTTGGCGGCGCTGGCGGGTTTCTTCGCCGCCGGCTTCTTGGGCTTGGCTGCGGCTGTTCTCTTCCTGGGGGCTTTTTCCTTCACTTCCCCGGGTTTCTTGTTGAGGCGGAAGGAGCCGGAGGCGCCGGTGCCCTTGGTCTGCACCAGGGTGCCCTTGCTGACGAGGCTCTTGAGCCCCAGCTTGATGCGGCTGTTGTTCTTCTCCACATCGTAGCCGCCGGCGGCCAGCGCCTTCTTGAGCGCGGCGAGCGAGAGCCCCTTGCGCTCCTTGGAGGCGGCCACGGCCTTGGTGATCAGCTCGGTGACGCTGGGCCCCGCGGGCTTGCGGGCCTTGGAGCCGCTCGCCGCCTTCTTCGGCTTCTTGGCGGCGGCCTTGGCGCCGGGCGCGGGCGCGTCGGGGGCGGCGGTGGGAGCGGTCTCGGACATCGCGGCGGCTGCCTCGGCGGAGCGGGCGAACACAATCGGGCTGGCCCGGGTCAGATGCTCGTATTTTTAGAGCGGAGCCGCGCCGTGATTGGTGCGCTGCAGAGCCCGCCCCGCCGCTCGGCCGGGGAGCCCTTCGGTGTGCTCGATTTGTGTTTCTTTGGACCAACAAAAGTGTGTTTTCCTCGGAATTTCTGCCACCAAATCGCCCGGTTTCCCCGGTGAGGGGGGAGAAGAGCAGGTACTTGCGTTCGGGAGAGTTTCCTGCGGCAAACACGCGATTTGAGTTAAAGGAGAGGCGATAAATCCCGTGTGCTGCTGCTGGAGAGACCTCTGAAGGGAGAAACTTTTGTTTTTCCTTGCAAATTAAAAATTTCCTTTTGACATAAATGTTACAGCAACAACGCAGTCTTATTCTTTAGAGGGTTTTCTTGGGGTTCAAGTTGAAATCTGACGATTTGAAGCTATTTTGACAGTTTAAATTGATTTTGAAGAGGAGGAAGTAACACAAACTCCTTTTTCAGCTGTGAATATGGATTAAGAACCGGTTCCTTTGACCGTGTGTTTTACCTACTAAAACGCTAAAGTCTAGTGAAATAGTGTCTCGTACAATCACATATTCCACTTTTTATAGAAACATAAGCAATTTTTTTAATATCTGGAGATTGATGAACAGAGAGTTGGTTTATTTTGTCTTCCTGGGATTTCAGTACAAGGGAGGCAAAGTTACTCTGCTGCCCTGTGTGGGGTGGTTTCTTTTTGTTTGTTTTCCATACGAATTTTTCTACCAAATATAAAGTAAATCAAGCTCTTTGCTTGTTACGTTCCATATTATTTTCAAGTATATAGTAATTTAAAACCTTATGATACAAAACTGCAGCTTTGTAAAAGAAAGCCATCTCCTGCACTTCTGTTGTTTATGGAAATTATCTTTGTCTCTGGTAATTTAAGATTTGCAAGGAGTAGCTTCGCAGTTTAGTGATCATGCTCTTTCTTCCCAAAGAATATTGTCTTGTTTTACATTTTCTGTAAAAGTAGTAGAATTGTAAACCTTATTACTGTTTGGATTTTTTTTAATGCTCACAGAATAAGGCAGAGGCTAAAGCCTCTGAATTCTGAATCCCCTTCTCACTCTAAATAAAGCCCACCTAATTATTATTTGTGCATTTTACAGCAACCAGTGAAATAAGGAAATACTTTTATGACAGAAATTAGAGCAATTCGTGATAACCTGAGTTTTAACAAGGGGAGAGGTAGGCCATAGGTCATTCCTAAAGTACCAGGAAGGAGTCAGCCTGTGCTGGTATCTGGTGGAAGATGGTGTAATATGCTGAGCAGAGCAGAGCTCTGGCTTAATATTTCATTAAACTGTAATTGACTACAAAAAAAGTGTATTATCCATTGTTTTTCTAGTTGTTTAAGAATCACAAAGACTGCACTACAGCCAGCCTTTTGGTATCACCTGATATAACATACAATGTGAATACAGTATTTAAATACATGTTAGCAACCAGAAATTCAGAGTGCATAAGCAGATCATTTTAGGGAAATGTAATTCTGTTTCTGTGTCATGGCTCCATTTCCAATGGCTATTTTATAAATGCTAAAATGTGTATAAGATGAGAGATTTAGCTTGCTGTAAAATTGTGTTTCAGGGAATGTGAAATTATGAATAAGTGCAACAAAGGGGAAAATTGTGACCTCCACCCCATAATGATAAAATACCATTGAAAAGGTTGCAGTAAAAATGCACCCGAGCTCTGTAATGCTTTAAGGGGAAATTAATTGAGAGAAGAGCTAATCAAATTGTGACTTTCGAGGTCCTGTTTGGCAATGCTACGTAATACAAAGTAAGGATACAGAGATTAAATGGAGTGGATGTGGGTATTGCAGCTATACCTTCAGAAATTGAAGGTAAAATGTTTTTAAACCTTTATCCTATTTATGTAAAACTATGAATGAACCTTCCCAGTGATTTGGCTGCATAATGCAATAAGGTAGCAATTGCTGGGAAGATATGAAATTTAGCAGTTGCCTAGAGACTTCATTGCATATAGACAGAGGAAAAGCACAGACCGTGAGTGACATGTCAGCAAAATGAAAAATTCCTTTTTGCTTATTCTTGTTGCTTTGAACACATTTATTTCAGTAATCTTCACTGAAGGAAATGTAAATATTCCAGCTCTCATTTGTGGCTTCACAGAGTCTTCATTCACATTTGTTGGTGGCAAAATTGAGGTGGCTAAAATGGTCATTATTGCAGTTTTCTGCCTGGCTTTTCTCCCAGCAGTTGCTGCCCTTTCCTCATTTCCAAAAAAGTCTACTAAATATATACATGTCAGCTTCTGGTCTTCAGCTACAATTTAGTAATTTAAACTGAAGTAACTTCAGAAATTTCATAAAAGAGAAGCTTTTTTTTTTTTAATGGTTTTGAAGCTGAGAGATAAACCATCTTTACTGATGCAGAATTGCTGCTTGGAGCACATATTCTTCTTTATGGGAAAGAAATACATACAGGAACAATATTTTGGAAGGTTAAGGTGTATTTGGCAATTTAAAAAAGAGCTGTTCTGCAGTCAGAACAGATAGTTAAAAAAGAATAAACAGATGTACTCAGGCAGAGAAAAAATGTGGTGAAAGACTACCCAAAAGGCAGAAATGGCAGTTTTACCTCTAGCTGAGCACATGAAGAAGGGAAACAATCCTATTTTAGATATAGGATATTGTGGGAAAATATTATTGAGAATACACTACATAGGCTGTCACATGCAGTTTGGTTTTCCCAGTGAGACTGGAGCGAGGTAGAATTCATTATTCAATTAGTGAAGGAAAGTTATATCAGGATCTCCAGAGATACTTCTGGAGAAGGCACCACTGTAAGCTCTACTTCATGTGAACTATTTCAATCCTTCTCACCTTATGGGCACCCCAGCAGGCCACACTGCATCACAAACCTGCAATCTCAGCCCTCCCTGCAAGTTGCTTCCCTTCAGATACCCAAATCTGTCCAACTTTTGCAGTTATCATTAAGACCTCTTAATGGCATTAGCAAGGAGACACGGGAGCCACGGCCAAGGGCTGGCAGCACACCTGAGAGCTATCAAACCTTCCCATCTGCAGACCAGGACCTGCCAGTACTTGTTCCTACGAAAATAAGCTGTGGGTTATATTTAGGTATGTCTGCATTAAGGAGAGGTAGCACAGTAGTAGTTCCCAAGCAATTTTGTTAGGAGGCATTAGCATGAGAGCCAGCCACAAATGTGGCTGCTGGGCTGTGCTCAGTCCTTCTCAGGCAGCTGAAGGGAGCACAGCTCTTACACTCTGCCACCAGAGCCCCTCTCCTGGCTTCACAGGGTAACTCCCAGAGAGATTCAGGTGAGGGCCTTTACATGATGTGCTGCATTCCCACATAGATGTTCCACAGGAAAGAGGTGGGAATGCTCCCTGCCCCCGTGATTACACTCCTGTTGCAGTGTTACACCCATGCCTTACTTGCCCTCAGTGACATCATCTTTCATCTGAGTTTCAAATGTAATAACACTTGTGTGATCCAACCAGCCAGCACAGTTTAGCAACTTTTAACACTTAGCTAAGGAATTTTCAAGCGAGACCTACCAAACTTCAAACTTGTTGCAGCTCAGCAGAACAAGTCTGTGCCTACACAACACTAATGTGTCTGCTGCGAGGGCTCCTGAGTGTGCTGAGGTCACATAAGGCCTTTTAAACTCAGGGGATGAGGGAGCATCTGCAGGGAGCAGAACAAACAGGGTAGGGCAGGGGATGACTGTCCTCACAGACTCAGCTTCCTGGAATGTTGAGCACTCCTCCCTGTACCCTTGGTTAAGGGTTGGGGCACTTGTTGTGTCCTCCCTTCTTCATTGGCAAGGCATGTAATTTGGCAATTGAAAATCTGTAGTGTGAAACCCAGATATGTCCATGGTTAGGAGGCACTGGGAAGGAAATCCTTCCTGGGAAAGCAAAAAAAAAAGTCAGCAAAAAATGGAGTGGGCCAAAACCTTTCTGAGAACAGATATTGACGAAAAAAAAAAAAAAAGGACTTTTTTCTTTATTCTTTACTCTGTGTGTATTTATTAGTTTAAGGCATTTTTACTTTTTTCACACACAATGAAAAGGTCCTCAGTCAGATATCAAAAAATAGAATTATTTATATCTCAGAGTAATTTGGTCTTCTAAACCTAATCCAAGCCACTTGGAAAATTGTGTTCTGGACCACGCTGGCATGGTTTGAATGTCATCATCAATGGGAGATTGAAGACACCTCAGACCCTTAGCCAAACTGTTCCTGAGAGGTGAAAAACATTAACAGAAGCTGCATCAGCTATGGCCCCACGGCAATTATCTCCTCCTGAATGGAGAATGCCTCGCTTTGGCCTGCATTTAGTGGTGAAGTCCACCAAGGAAGGGTGACACCACGCTGTCCTTCCACAGCAGCCGCTCCGTCAGCGCGGAGTCCCGGCTGCTCGCCAGGCAGCTCTCACACAGAGGGATGCTGAGCAGCACACTCTTCCTCCCTGCAGCACTCCTGTGGATCTTCTGCCCTCCACGCTTTCCTGCTTGTGTGACAGTGCTGTCTGTGACTTCTCCTACGCGGGAGGGAGCAATGTGGTGAATCTAAATGTCACTTCCCACTCCAGCCAGAAACGTGTTTGGAACCTATGGAGGGACAAAATGTCCTTGGACACATTGTGCATGCACAGTTGGGCTGCAGTGCGCTGTCTTCCTGGCTGGTGACACCCCAGACACTGATGTGACACGCTTCCAGGTAAATTTGGGTTGGCAGACAACTCATTTTTTTTGCCTCGCAGGCACTGACAGTGGCACCCAGGCACAGTGTAGGCCAAGAGCCAGAGCCCTGTGTAGCACACCATGGGAAGTGCTCTCCCTGAGTGGTGCTGCCTTCCTGTTATTCACCAGAGCTGTGAAGGTGCAGCAGGTACTGGCTCTAGACAAGGCTATTTGTGCCATCATTCTAGAGCAGGAGTATTGCAAGTTAGCATTTGGGAGCTCGCAGTATAGGCTGTTTTCCCATAGGAGGGAACAAAAAGGTTTTAAAGAGTTCACTGTGTGAGTGTAGTGCTGTAGCTCAAGGTTTTCCAGTACATGCTTTGCAGCTGTGCAGTCAGTGGTGTGGTGCCAGAGTAGCACAGCCTCAGGTCAGTGTGCTGTCCAGGCTGCCAGGGACACTGCAAGGGCTGGCTGGTACCTGAATTCCCCCCCGAGACATTAATGAGGTCAGCAATGTGTCACCTCTGCTGTCATACAGTCAGGAAGTCAGGAATCCTGCTTCAGAGGCCTGTGAGACTAGGTATGATTTGGGCACATTCAGGAAGAATATATTTTATCTATTTTGCCTGCAAATTACCTTGGTCCCAGAAAAGGTTGCCTTCCATATTGACTGTATTAAAACTAGATCTTGTTCTTTCTGGCACAGGTTCTTTTTTGCTTTGCAACTGAAAATGCCATCAAGATTTTGTTGACTTGGTTTTGAAATAGGAATTAGAGTAACAACTTTAACTTTTGTATTCTGTTTGAGGTTAGCAGTTTGTAACATCTGTCATGTAATTGTGTGTTTAGCAAGACTGGCCCAGAAGGCCAGCACTGTTCCTGCAGCAGGGAGCAGCAGACATCCAGCTGTAAGGAGGTTGGTAAATACAGAGAAACCTGCTGGGGTTTGGGTTTGCTCAGACTGCAATGAGACATGCACAAGGAAACTTGATAGCTGAAATTGCTCAAAGCTGTTGAGGAAGGGGCTGGTGATCAGTAAGGTGGATGTTTGAGTAAATCTAATCTAATTGTCCCCATCCAAAGCATGGTCTTTTTATTTAAAAATTCACTAGGATAAAAAAAAGGAAGGGAAGGGAAGAGGAAGGGAAAAGGAAGGGGAGGGAGGGAGGGAGGGAGGGAGGAAGGAAGGGAGGAAGGAAGGAAGGAAGGAAGGAAGGAAGGAGAGCCAAAACCAAAGTGGAGGAACAATTGCAATCTGTTCTGGTTTTACCAATTCTTTAGGCCTTGGCATACTTGATCACTGTCATGAAGACAGGAATTTTTATTTGCATTTGACACTAATGAAAGTCAAGATGGGTTCTTAATCATCAAGTCTGTTTGGGTTCAGATTTTTATTATTTTCATGTTATCACATATGCTATTGTCCCTACATGGTGAATAGTCTTACCTTTAGTTTGTGGTTTTGTTTGGATCTTTTGGTTTTTTGGGTTTTTTTTGTGTTGTTTTGATTTCTACCTTCCCCTTGGGTTGCAGGATCATCTGGTTGTGGTCCCTTCAAACTGGAGGGACACACAAGCTCTATTAGGAACACTGGGAACACAGAGGCTGCAAGTCTGGGAAAGGTCAGAAGAATACACAGTGCAGTAGTAGAACTTGTTTCTTAAGTTAGTAATATCAGCAGGGATCCAAGAGTGGGGAGAAATTAATGGGTGTTATGAGCAGCACAGCTTTGAGAGTCTGCCCTCTGAATTGTACGCTGGAGACATAATAATAATGCCTGAAGAAATGAGTAACTAATGGGAAACTTCTTTCTGGACCAATATCCCAACTGTGACAGAGGCTAGTAAATGAAGAGGGTAAGAGCAATAGCTGATAATCTCATCTAAGTGGTCCTTTAGATTTTAGTGCTTTGTAGCTGGAGACTCATTGAGTCAGAGGGGATGTCTTGGGACAGGGATGATTCAGGGAGCTGCAAATGCAGTTTTCTTCTTTGTGTATAGCAGTTGCTTTCTTTAGGCAAAACATTTTTCATGTTTTGAGATTTGCTTTAGCATTACAAATCAAAAGGTTGAGGAGCAGGTGAGTGGGAGTGATAGATGGGCAAATGAATGATGGGCATGTACACTCCATGGACTTTATCCCTGCCATTGTGGAGAATTCCACTAATACATGGTTAGCTGTCCTCAGTGTCTGCCTGTGTTATAAAACATGCATGAAATGGAGCAAAATGCCCACCAGCAAAGAGAGTGAACTCAATACTCTTCCCTGTAGCTGCAGAGATTAAGGTAAAACATGTGAAACAGAGGGAATGGCATGTCATATAAAGGAAGATATGAAAAGGAGTCACAGGCCTTCAGGGCCAGGCTGAGACATTCTTATATAAAATATCTGAGCTGAAAGACGCTGTGAAACAATTACTTCACCATTATATTTTTAGACCCCATCGTTTTTTCAGACTTACCCTGCTGGAGTCACTGTGACTAAGGCAGGAAAAAAAAAAAAAGCCAGAGTCAATGAGAAAAAGGGTTGCCAGAGTTCACAGAGATCGTTCTGAGCGCTTCACTTTCAGGGACTTTTCTCTGTCTTTGTGTGAGGAATAATGTGTGTATTTAGCCATGATGAGGTCAGGCAAATTCTCCATATTGGAATTACATTAATTGCATAGAGCCAGTGGGTCCTGAGCTACAAATGGAGGACTGCAGGCATAGCCAACAGAAATGAGGCATGGATTGAAAAGTCATAATGACTGATTTTCAGAGTCATACAGTTATACCAAAATAACAAACAGAAATGTCATCATTTGCAACATACCCTTGTGAAAAGAAAACGTATTGCATGAAGGAAAGGGTATCCATTCAGAATTGTGCCAAGCCTTTGAAAGCATGGGGGTACACAGGAACACGGCTGCACAGCCATTTTTGTTGTGCATTTGGCATATGTTAATAACTTGAATCCAGTTAAAAGTAATTACCTAATGGAAATATAATGCTCTTTGTATATGACCACGACATTTGGAATTAAATGTGAAGCACACAATAAAGGCAGAAAATAAAGGCTGAATGGGAAGCAAACGCTGGTGACGCTAGGATAGAAAATAAAGGGTGTTCAGTTCATTGCTGAAAAAGTCCTGTGCAGATCCGCCACTGATACCATACTCTGAGAGTCAGATATAGGCAGGTTTGAGAAAAAGAAACGTTTCCTTCTGGTCTGAGGTGAAAAGTTAGGCATGATTTTCCTCATGCTACGGAAGATGCGGTCACAGCAAGACTGTAAGGACCGTGCGGGCGGCCGAAAGCCCGGCACGTCCTTGCGCAGGAAAAAAAAAAAAAAAAAAAAAAAAAAAAAGGTTTCTGCGTTCTCGCCACAGCTACAGGGAGGAAATTTCCTTTCCCTCGCTCTCCCTATCCTTCCGCATAGATCGGGCTGCTGTTTCTCAGCGGCCTTTTGGGGAGGAATAAAGCACAAAACCCATACAGGACAAGTGTTTTTAGGTTAATTACCCTTCCCTGAGAAAATGTGGGTAAGCTGCATATGCCCAAGTTCTCCACGACCAGGCGCCACAGCGTTTCTTTTTCCCATTCCCCGCCCATGGCTCAAAGGCAAAGGCAGCTGCAGACCCGCCTGCAGCGCCTGGAGCAGCGGCGCTCCGGACTCGGCTCTTCGCTGTTCCTCCCGCGGCCCTACCCAGGGAGCCCTCGGCGCCCGCGCCATTCCCAAAGCGCGCGCGGGCCGCCCCTGGCTCTGGCACGTCCCGCGCTCCTCCCGAAACAGCGGCTCCGGGCCGGCAGAGCGCTGCCACCGAGCCCGGCCCGGGCGGGCACAGGGAACGCGGGCAAACCGCGCACACCCAGCCGGACATGAGTACAGCCTCCCTTCCCTTCCCCCCGGCCGCAGCGTCTCAAGCTCTTTCTCGACTCTGTGGGTGGCTCTGAAAAGAGCCTTTGGGTTTCGCTTCTGGACTCCGGACGCTCCCGCCGCCTGCTTTACTTGCTCTTGGCTTTGTGACTCTCCGTCTTCTTGGGCAGCAGCACGGCCTGGATGTTGGGCAGCACGCCGCCCTGCGCGATCGTCACCTTGCCCAGCAGCTTGTTGAGCTCCTCGTCGTTGCGGATGGCGAGCTGCAGGTGGCGGGGGATGATGCGCGTCTTCTTGTTGTCGCGGGCCGCGTTGCCCGCCAGCTCCAGGATCTCGGCCGTCAGGTACTCCAGCACGGCCGCCAGGTACACCGGCGCGCCGGCGCCCACGCGCTCCGCGTAGTTGCCCTTGCGCAGCAGCCGGTGCACGCGGCCCACGGGGAACTGCAGCCCGGCCCGCGACGAGCGCGACTTGGCCTTGGCGCGCGCCTTCCCGCCCTGCTTCCCGCGCCCGGACATGGCTCCAGCGACTCCGCGACAGCAGCGACACCGGAAGAGCCGAACGAACGCCCAGCCCGCCCCGCCGCCTGCCTTATATACAACCCGGGCGGATCGGCAGCGCCCGTTGCGATTGGCTGTGCGAGAGGACTCGTTCCACAGCCAATGGAAAAGGCGAATTCCAGACCCGGCCAATAGCGAATCCCGGCGCCGCGCGGAGCCGACAGGCAGCCAATAGCGAGGCGGCGATGTCGGCGGAGCTGCTATAAAAGCGGCTGCCGAGGCGGTGCCGCCGCTGTTCGCTGTTTGTTGCTGCGTTTGTTTTGTGCGGGAGCTGCGGTTGGTGCCGAGAGAGCCACCCACCTTCTCAGTAAAAGAGCTGATCCTGTCCTGAGTTCTTGCACCAAATGTTTTGCTTATGGGAGGGAGGGAAATATGCATTTACGGTGTAAAAGTACCGTAAATTACAAAGAAAAGGGTTGGCTGTGTTTGTGTAAACTAAGGCTATATTCTGCATCCTGTCGGAGGCCCGCTTCTCGTGCATGTTCAGTGCAGGGGTAGTAGCTAAGAAATTTAATGTCGGTCTCAAAGCGACCAAAACGAATCCTATGACCGCTGCTACCTGGTGTTCTGGTTAATACACGCTGAGGGGTAGGGGAGGGGGAAACAAAAAAAAACCTACGCCTATTATTTTAATGCCTTCATCGGACGCACTAAAAGCAAAGACTGTTTCAGACAGGCCCTCTGTTCTTGTTTTCTGCTTCTTTATCCCTGAGTAAAAGGATCCGGAATGCATGCCCGCTCTTCTTCACTCCACCCAAAATGTATTTTTGAGGCAGACCAGGGGAAGAAAAGTGGGATGATGTTCTAGCCCCCCAACTGCGCAGTCCTGCATGGGCACTGCCACCTCTCCCACACAGACCCAAAGGCTCTTTTAAGAGCCACTACGTGCACATCAAAAGGAGCTGTAGCACTGCTTGAAATTTTCTTTTAAATTTACCCCTGATGCTTCGCAAAACCGCGAAGTGACAAGTGCTTTTAAAACACTCTCTAGGGGTAGGGTGTAAATTAGTACACACCTGCACTTTTCAGCCTTCTAAGGACCCGCCTTTGTTCAAATTCTTACAATGAGGCAAGGTCAGTGTAACAAGGGTCTGAGGATCAAAAGGAGGAGTTAAGAAATAAAGCTGGAGAAAAAGCCACACAGGGAGCCTGTGCTTGGCGCTACCTGCGCCGGGACTGCGCAGTGTGGGGGAGAGTCACCCGTGGCAATGTAGATTGCGGGGCAGGGGAGTGGGCATCCACCTTTAAGTACGTTTTTTAACTGAAAAGAACAAGAATCTAGAGCACCGGGTAGTTTGAAAGGGCTTGTGCTTTCAATGCTGCTGGTTCACACCGTCTTTCGTTAACGTAGGTTAGCAGAGACATACCATGTACCATCCGACAGGAACGTGCTTCCACTGTTTTAATTGAGACCACCGACAGCATTTATTTTTTTGAGTAACCCACCTCCCCTACAGTGTACGTACACCAAAACGGACTCCTAAGGCTTTTGAAGAGAATTATGAACGTTGTCAGATACATTGGATCACTCAGGACACAGCCTCAGTTTACCACCAACACTGCCAACCCTTTTTTTAATTTACTCTACTTTTACACCGTTAATGCACATTCCCCTCTCAGCCCACCACCGAAAAAAAAAAAAAAAAAACAAACAAAAAAAAAACAACCCCAAACGGGACAGGTGGACGAGGAGCTCAACAAGCTGCTGGGCAAGGTGACGATCGCGCAGGGCGGCGTGCTGCCCAACATCCAGGCCGTGCTGCTGCCCAAGAAGACCGACAGCCACAAGGCCAAAGCCAAGTGAGCGCTGAAGAACAAAAGGCTGCCAGGTTAAACTACGAAAAACCCAAAGGCTCTTTTAAGAGCCACCTACAATTTCAAAGAAAGAGCTGGAATTTCATTGCGGGGGGGAAAGCCCGCGGGAGGGTTTGAAATGCGTGTGTCGCTCCTTTGAGCTGTCAGTGGCGGGCGCCCCTCCGCGCACAGCCCCAGCCCCGCGCTCTCGCTTCCCTCCGGGGCGGGGCTGAAGCGGTTCCAGGAAGCAGCTCAGCCCTTCCGCAACCAATCCCTGCCCCTCGTGGGCATTTTGAGAGCCACCAAGGCGCTTCTGCCCTCCCCCTACCAAATCAAGCGCGCCTCGAGCTGTTCCCCGGTCAAACAGTACATTTATCAGCAGCCTGCGGTTCCCCCACACCCCTCCCCAAAACGGCGGCAGCCACAGCATTTCAGCCTATTTCTGAAAATATTAGTGGCTCTTAAAAGAGCCGTTGGGTTTAAATGCGAAGCAAGATTATTTCCCCGTGGGGCTTTCTTCCTCTTGAGCGCTGCCTTCTTTGCCTTGGCCGCTTTCGGCTTGGCTGCTTTGGGCTTCACCGCCTTCGCTGTAGCCGGGCTCTTCGCTGCCGCCGCCGCCGCTTTTTTGGGCTTGACAGCCTTTGTCGCCTTGGGACTCTTGGCTGGTTTCTTGGCTGCAGACTTAACTTTCTTGGGGCTGTCCTTTGCTGTCACCGCCTTCCTGGCGGCGCTGGCGGGATTCTTAGCCGCCGGCTTCTTGGGCTTGATTACTGCGGGGCTTTTTTTTTTTGTTGTTTGTTAGTTTTTTTGTTTTGTTGTTTGTTTTTTTGTGTGGGTTTGTTTTTTGTGTGGTTTTGGTTTGTTTTTTTTTTTTTCCTTAGGAGCCTTTTCTTTTGCTTCTCCGGGTTTTTGGTTGTTTGGTTTTTTTTTTGCTGCGGCGGAAGGAGCCAGACCTTGGTCTGCACCAGGGTGCCCTTGCTGACGAGGCTCTTGAGCCCCAGCTTGATGCGGCTGTTGTTCTTCTCCACATCGTAGCCGCCGGCGGCCAGCGCCTTCTTGAGCGCGGCGAGCGAGAGCCCCTTGCGCTCCTTGGAGGCGGCCACGGCCTTGGTGATCAGCTCGGTGACGCTGGGCCCCGCGGGCTTGCGGGCCTTGGAGCCGCTCGCCGCCTTCTTCGGCTTCTTGGCGGCGGCCTTGGCTTTGCGGGGCGGTCTGGGGGCCCGCGGGGTCAGGCGAGCAGGGGCTGTGCCCCCGAGGCTGCAGCGCGGCCGCTGCCCCGCCCTCCGCCTTGTGCTTCCTCGGGTGAAAGAGAATGGCTTTTTCCTGCTTTATCTGTCACCAAATCAGCCTTTTTCTACATCTGGGAGCGGCTGTTTCTCCCTTGTTGATGTCTTGTCGCGAAAAGAGTCGGATTTAAGTAACATGGGGACCAAGAGTGCCGAGTCCTGCCAGCAAATGGACCTCGAGAGCACGCAAGTTTTGTTTTTCTTCCTAAATTAGAAATTCTACTTTAAAGTTAACGTGAGTCAGAAAACTCAGTATTAATCTTCAGAAGGTCCTTTTTACACTACGTAAGACAGCAATCAGAGTATCATTCTTAAAATAAAACAGTTTCAAAGAGAGTGAGGTAGCACAAAGCTGTGCTGCCGCTTCTCCTACTGAGGTTTATATCTCTAGCTACTGTGAAACACTCAGGTATATTTTTTTTCCTTTACTTCCAAACATAAAATTTCCAGACGTTTCACACTTTTATGCATGAAGTATGAGACAGCACATACTGTATCCCCCTCCTTGAAACACTTTCCTATTGTTAACATAGCAAAAGGCTCTGCAATATCAGTGGAATAATTTGGGACCTGAACATCAAAGATAAAAAGTTTGTGTTGGAACACGGAGCTTCACATAAGTCTCTGGTGCACAGAAACAGACCACACTCTAAATGAAGCACACAGTGCTAAATGTGCAAAATTTGTTTGTGTGATTCATTAACGTGGAAAAAGAAATGGACAGATCTTGAGTGGGCATGAGATGTCAGAGCGCCATTCTATACATATTTTGATCTGAAGCTTGAAAGAAAAACCACAATTTTTGCTCACTGTTCTTTTTCCATGTTACAGATCATGTCACAGAATTTTCTGTACATTTTCTGTACTTTGCAGCACAAAGTGAGGCAAAGCTCTTTTTGCACATTGTGATCACTACCCCATTAGCACACATACATTCTTACCAGCTACAACTTTGGGTATAGCTTTGTGTCCCTGTAAGGAGTTCCTAATTCATTTACCTTGACATTTAATGCCCATCAATAGTTTAGTAGGGCCAGATTGCTGCATTTGCACTAAGCAGGTTTTTGTACTCACCAACTCTGCAATCACCAGTGCCGATACTTGTGCTGGGACAGAAGCCTTTCTACCTCCCCCATTCTCTGCAGATTCATTAACACAAGTGTAATAATGTGTGTAATAATGTGTAATAACACAATAGCACACTTCCCTCCAGCCTGTAACATAACATTCCCAAGACTGTTTTATTTTACACACACAGCTGTATACTAAATCCTGTATAGTGGTGCCAACCACAACACCAACCATCTCCCAAGGAAAAGCTTCTTTCTCAGTATGTGCCACAGCAACACTGCCACACATTGTGGTAGTCCTTGTCTCACTCCACTTTTGTCTCCACCATTCTCTACCAAATACTAAATTCAGCAACGTGAGGCTAATTTTCGTAATTATTTTAGAGGCTCCTATTTATTTGGTTTTCCACTTCTGTTTTTATTCTAATATTCCCTTCCCTTATTTGTACAAAGATTACATAATCTCATGACCGTTTTAGATACAAGCAGGAATAGGGGGAAGGATGCAGAAGTATAAGAGAACAATCAAGCCCTACAAGGAGATAGGAATACAGCATCACCTCATAGAGTGATGAGTAAATACAGTAAATAGAGTAAATACACAAAGACTGTGGTTCATGGCTCACCCTCCTCCCCCAAAACCTGCTGTTTCTTGTGTGATTAGTAGCACAAAAACCCGAAGTTGTGCACCAGAGATCATTACTCCAATCATGGTCAAACTTCATTAAGAAATGGGTAGTAGTACATATTTCTCTGCAATGCAGACATGAAAAAGAACAGATAGGAAGGATCCTCCCTGGGACAGATTCTCCCTCCCTCTTGTGCATTTACCATCACAATTACAGCCAGATTTGCTACCTCACCCTAGAAAAGGTGAAATAAAGAACAAGAGGATCTCAGTGGTATTCCAGGCTGATGGTCATTTACCATCACAATTACAGCCAGATTTGCTACCTCACCCTAGAAAGGTGAAATCAAGAACAACAGGATCTCAGTGGTATTCCAGGCTGTTGGCTCTGCATGCACTGTCAGTATGGACAGAGATCTCTGGAAGAGTAGCAAGAATCTGCCAGCAAATCCTACAGAACAATTGATTTTTTGCAGGTACTATCAATGTGAGTCAGCTTGCCCTGCAAGAGATCAGATCTGAAAGTCCCTTAGAGCACTTTCCAGACAACATGGAAAGTATAGATTATTATAACCAGTAACAAATGCCTGTTAACTTGCAAAAAATATATAGTAAAAATCACACTTAGTGCCTGCTAGCCAACTAAAAAAATTGCAAAATCAGGGTAGCTTTCCAATTACTGCATGTCCCTTTTGTGATATTTGGCTCTAGAGCACAAAGCCAAGTGGCCACCATCGATGACATTAAAAGTCCTAGGAAGAGGACCTTACAAAGGTGCAGTGTTCAGCTTTTTGTACTCATACTGAAGATAATTCTTCTTGAATTCTTTCTCCTATTCCTCCCCTTCCTTATGATTTTTCCACATGAACACCTAACTGCACTACATTTCACATTGCCATGACTTTCCCAAGCATGTAAAGCCCATCTCTGTTTTGGAGATAGGAGAATTGAGAGTCATTCACAATTCTTAAAAATACAGTTGCTCAGATCCTCCAATTTTAGTCTGATTCACGTTTTCTACCCTTCTCCTGCTGAGGCCCAGCTGTAGGTGTTAATTCTCAACATTTCCTGTCAGCAAAAAAAAAAGGCTCTCAAAGCTACTGGTTCAGCAGCTCTCCAGATCCAGACAACAGGATCCTGATTGTGGGATCCTGAATACGTGCGTGTGTCTTGTTCCTTTTCCACTTTTGGCCAAGTTGAATGCAGATGTTCGGTTTCAGCCCTAGTGGAGAGAGGACCAGATTTCAGTTATAACAAAACTCTACTGCCTCTTGCACTTATCATTGACACTGGAAGTACTCACCAGGTTTAGGTTCAGGATGGCCAGGAACAACAGTTCCTGCACCTCAGTTTGGCAATTCCAAACTCTTCTGCCATCAAACACATGAGAATGTGGGAATGGCTTGGCTCACCTTTAGTAGGGCCCAGAGCACGTGAAACACCTTTTCACCTTCATTTCAGCACCCTCACAAGGAAACATCTCAAGAGCAGCCAGCTTCAGTTTCCAGAACGTCCTTCTGAAAAAATAGCATTTCCATCCCATGCAACAGACACCAAACCCAAAGGGGACAGTAGAAAGAACAGTTTGTTCCACCTTTCAGCTGCTGTCTGGAGAAAATCCTGACCCACAGTTTTGGTTTGGGTGGCAATGTACATGTCTCCCTACCAGCTACTGGCGGGGACTCAAGTCTTCTTCCATCCCACTCTGAACCATGACATTCACATCACTTAGACACTTTTATTTCCTCTGAAGCAGCTGGTCTTAAACCTCTGGCTGACTGCAGCCTTTGTGGTTCACTGGCTCCCTTTTGGTGCCCACCCTGGTCAGGCGGAGAACAACCACCTGCAACTCCTCCACTTTCTGCAGAGAAGCCAGGAAGATGAGCTACCACCTCATAAAAACAAGCTCATAATGGCTCAGAAGAGGTGGACAAGAATCCTTGAGGGAGAAGAGGTTGCCCCCTCTCCTGCCCCTGTGTTGCTGGAGGGCAGGGATGGAAGATGATGTTCCCAGCACTTTTCTAGAGGACACTGGGATGCAGAGCCAGCAAAGGAAAGGAGCAGTTTGGCACAGATGTCCAGCAGCTGAAATACTGCCCTGAGCTAAGAGCAAAAATAGCTGCTGGTATCACTGCACCTGTGAAGACAGGGGAAATGTGTGAATTTGGGCACGCAGGCAAATTCAGAGAAGAGCTAGAGGAGGAGGAATGCTTCTGGTGGGTTGTTTCACCACCTTACTTTTCAGCATATGTAAGGTCTGTTATGTAAAGTGCTTAGTTGTGGGATTCTGAATACATCCGTGTCTCTTGCTCCTTTTCCACTAACTCTTCTGGCAGTTTTGAACTGATGAACAGATTCTAAGATTTTTTTAAAATCACCTGCATGAAGCAATATTCTTTCCTTCTTGCTGACATCTATTCATCAAATGAGGATTCCTATGACAGCTGTCCAATCACTTCCATATTAATAATCTAAAAAAAAGACATTTTGTTCCAGAAACCTTACAAGGGAAATATTGTTGTTGGTTTACAGAAACCTTTTATTTTCCAAGAAATATAAAGATAAGAATGCAGTATAATATGTCATTAAACATGAGAAAGTCTCAACCATCCCCAGAACAAGAGAATGTAAAATCATGAGCTGATCAGTATTATAAAAGCTGTGCCAGGTCAGAGGGTAGCTTCAGGGAGCAAACATTCATCTGAAACTAAGGTCACCTCCATTCACCATTTGCTCTGCCCAGGAGGCAATAAGCAAACCTTTGGCTTCCTCCCTGCCTCTGTTTCCCTACATATCAGGTGAGAACAAGAACCACCAAAGTTCATTGAAAATGCTGCAGAACAGCAAGGAAATGAATTGTCTGTAGCTCCATGTGGATAATCAGAGGTCCTGCATCCAAACTGATGTGATTTTTGAGTATACATCAGGAAATGCGTCAGCCACCATATGCTTCCCGAAATATAAAAAGTGGTGAGAAGTAGGCGGCCTGATTATCAATGCCTACTTGCAATCTACCATGCTATGGAGGGAGAGATTCCTACTGAGGAGCAGATTTTAGGGAAGGAGACAGCTGCTTTCTAGGCTCTCTCATTACCACTCGCTGTGGGAAGACCTGCCCACAGAACGGCTGAAGAAGGAAGAGTTTCAGGTGCAATGATTGGTGTGCACTAAAGCTGAAGGAAGAAGGATGCTCATCTTCAGACATCACTGCAAAGAGGCACAAAGTACAGCAACAAATTTGCTTTTTGCGATGCAATACAGCTCCCTGACTGCACCAGGTTCAAGGAAGGGCTGAAAGGAAGAGAACATATTCACCCTTTCTGCCCAGTTCCAGTTCTCCAAGTCTGCAGAGCTGCTTCAAGTGTGAAAATGTTTTTTTCTAGAGCTATACCAGCTCACTACAAAATGTTGTCATCTGCTCTGAAAACAATCACTAGATGTCTGATGTGCTGAAAATATAAAATAATACTCAGCATAGAGGGGAGCCCTAGGATACTACAAGAGATATTAATCAAAATCTGATTTTGGTATCAAGAATGCAATTTGTCCTTAAAGGCAGAGTTCACAAACACTTTTCAAAGCAGGTTTGTGAAATACAGAGACTTGATTCATGATGGACATAAAGGCCATCCCAACAGCCATATATCTCCTGCTGAATACTGAGTTAAGTATGGATGCAAGCAGTGGTACCTGTATGACAAATATTTGGGAGGTACAGGAGGCCACACTGCATGCTCATAGCCAGATGGCCTTTTCTCTTTGGATCCAGATGAGATCCATCCCTCTCATGCAGGTGCTCTGTCATTCAGAAGTGTTCCCAAGTCTTGCTGGTGTCAACAGGGTCAAAAGGTACCTGAAAAATCCATGAGGGGGACAGGCAGAGATGCACCACTGCCACACACAGTCTTCCACAACAGCATCTCCTGCTCACTGCAGGACAGCAAGGGCTGGTTTAAAGGACCAGCTCTGGCCCAGAGCAGTGTCTGTGGGACAGGATATTTGAAACTGGAATATAAACCTAGCAAACCTGTGGGACATCGAACGAGGCAGGAGAGAGATAAAGAATTGCTGTCCATAATTTGTCATATATTATAGAGCAGGTGCCTGGAAGAGACGGGCTGAGCTTTTGGGGATGACTCTTCCTTCTCCGATCTCTAGAGGGAGCTTCAGAGTGTGAACCTCTAAAGAGGGCTGAAATGAGGAGACATGCATCTCTATCTGAAGTTCAAGGTAACAGTTTTCAACTTTTTCTGGACTTCTTTAGGCCTCTGTGTCTGTGTCATGTTTCCATTGTGCCAGATGGGAGGGTTAGTCACTGTAGTGACAGTAGCTTTTGAGGTTCCTAGGCAATCTCAGAATTTGACAAAGCAGTCAGCCAAGATTTCAAAGACACTGACTTCTTGAAAGCTTTAAAAAAAAAAGTAGATTTTGTAGGTGAGAAGAATCCAGACTCCCTTCTTTCAAGAGAAATGTTGCCTTATGAACTGAGCCATCAAGAAGCCCATTGGAAAAGCGACACGCGAAACCAGGTTACCTTTTACCAACCTAATAGGTTTCTTTGCAGCTCTGGAAATACGTTAACAATTCTCCATTTTCTATAGTTCCAGAGGGGATGGGTAGCCACGCTTGCTCTGGTGTGGAGCTGCTGCTGCCCCTGCTAAGAGGTGAACAGAGAAAAGGCCCCAGCAGTGCTGGTGCCAGCAGAACTGTGTGTGGCTGCACTGAATTACATCAGCTGTGCCACGGCAGCGCTGGAGGCTCACGGGCTGCCTGAGGAGCTGCTGCTCTGTGCACCAGTCTTGTGCCACACAGCCTGCACTGAACATGTCATCAAAGCTGGCAAGTGGCAGAGTAAGCTGCTCTGTTTAAATGCATTGCAGGAATTCATTCTCCACGTCCAAATAAATACTTGATCTCTGCAAACGCTGCTAACAGTGTTTTGACAAGGCGATTTAGGATGGTATTTCTGTTACATGAATGCAGGCACAGTCAGTGTGCTTGGCTAATTTTCTGCATAAATGGAACTAGCAAGAGGTGTTCTCATCCCACAGGCTTTCCTGTTCCCCCCACCCTGTTCTTCTCTTTGCAGCTTTCCTCAAACCCAGCTGAGGACCCACATACACTGGAGCCCAGAGCAGCCTGTCACATTCTGGAATGCTTTCAAAAAATTAATTTGAACCTGCTGGTAAGGTTACTAAAAGCTGACACAGCCATTTTGTTCCAATTTGCTTTCTTTGGTTTAGTTTTGGCCTATTCTAGTTTCTGCTGATTCTGAATTAATATCTTGCTGTGAAAAGTTAAGATTTGTCTTTGATACAATTGATACAATTGAAAAAGAAAATTTAAAAAAATGTGTAGCTCCAGGGTCCAGTAGTTAAGGTTGAAAGTACCAAGCATGGCAGAAATCTCCTGTTAGAAAGATGGTATATAAGTGTAAATTTACTCCAATTTTCTCAGTGATTTGATCAAAACAATGTTAGTAAAGGAAGTGTTTATTTGAAACTCCAGCTTCAAATGATACACATTTGCATTCAAATGTTACATCACAGTAGCTGCAAACAGCTTCAGATCAGACACTTCTGCCATACATCCCTTCTCCTGGAGAGACCAGGAGCAAAAAACCAGTCCTTTCTGCCAAAATCCCCTGAAAGGAAGAGAGCTGAGGCAATAAAACATCCTTCCTTCCCTTTTCTGGTCACCTGCTCCCACAGAGTGCCCTCAGGCGTTTCAAGAGGATGTGGCTGGATGGGAAAGGGTGGAGCAGAGGTGCCCTTTTTGGCCAGGGTCACTGTGAAACACCTGCTGTGCCCCTTCCACCATCAAGCCCAAGCGCTTTGCAGGTCACCAACAAAGAGGCAGCAATGCACAGCAGGCAGCATGGTCAGGGCTCCACCAGCTTGCAGAACCACCCAGGGAAGGTCTGACCTACTCCACACATCTGGAGATCCCTGATAAGCTAAAGATTCACTCCAGACAGGCTTTGGAGCCTGCCTGGTGACCCAGCAGGTGCACTTACATCTGGACAAGTGCACTGACGGCACTAGAAGCCTTTCAGTCCTTGGCAGGTGCTGAGAGAAGACACTTTTCTCCCATCCAGCTCCCATTCCCATCTGCTCATCTTTGCTGGAGGTGGTCTTTCTCATTATCAGTGGGAGAGAAGACCAGCAGCCCCACCAGAGGGATGTTTGTGAGAGTGTCAGCAGGGACAGGAACAGATAGCAAAATGCTGTGGTAGGGCTGCTTCCTGGGAAATAGTGGTTCTTTTTATAACACACATCTCTTGTCTAAAATCACATTGACATCTGTAGCTCCTCATGTGAAGTCCATACTTTCTGGGTATGCACCTTATTATAGGGGTGCATTATGGGGAAACACTCTCTTTAAATGGTGAAGGAGCCCAGGGATGATTCATGTGAGAAACCATCCTCAGCTGAGACCAACATCTGATCTTGAGTGAAGTGCAGATCTTTCAGTGGGCATGAAAGCCTGTGAGGGAATAGTCACAACAGGGAAAATGGGAGAACAGTCAATAGGGAAAATGAGTTGTCTCTTCTGCACCCTAATCAGGTCCTTGCCCACAGACAGCATTGCAGGAGTTTCTGACAATATTTTGCAGCTGAGTATATTGAAAGAAGACAACTGTGAAAGGAAGGAGAGCATCTAAAACTATGTCATTATCTTAGGCTCATTCTAGACCCTTTTTTTAATTTTTCTTTTTATTTTTATTTCACTTTTACCAAAACTCGCTGTCCTAACAAAGACATATCTGCAGGCACAAATTCTAACACAGATGCAGTCACATGAAAAAAAGTGCCCTATTCTATTTGGGAATGTGAGAAAAGAACGATCAACTGCAAACACTTGCCAAGGCAGATGGGCTCCAATTCAAGCATACGCTTGCTAAAACAAAGGGAAGGGCCAAAGCGCAGTTTCCTTCAGTGTCAAAGCTCACCTTCCTGTTAACGTGCAGTATGTACAGATTGTACCAGACCAGGACTGCATATTTGGCATCTTTAAAATGGTGTTTTCTCTTTTCACGTCTGTGACAGTTTGAAATAATTCTTCCATGCTATTTATTTTTTTTCATTCACGTTTCATCTCCTGTAGGTACACCCCTGAAAAAACATTTGACATACTATTTCACACCTGTTTTAATGTAATTGCCAGGACTGCATATTTGGCATCTTTAAAATGGTGTTTTCTCTTTTCACGTCTGTGACAGTTTGAAATAATTCTTCCATGCTATTTATTTTTTTCATTCACTTTTCATCTCCTGTAGGTACACCCCCGAAAAAACATTTGACATGCTATTTCACACCTGTTTTAACATAATTTAAAACTAAGTTGCTGTTGAAATGAATAATCCTAGCCTTCTCCTCTCTCTGCCTGCTGCTTCTCAGTCTCAGCCCTTTTTAAGGCCAGCTCCAGCAATTGCGTGGCTACACATCCCACAAATTCAACAGGAAAGCCTCACCATTCAGTGACAGCTAGATAGCTTTCAGATTAGATAGGTCAGGGGCAAAATCAGAGCTTCCCTGTCAACAAATAGTCCTGAAAAGCAAGAATCCACCAAACAAGAAAGTAGATGCTCCATCTTCAAGCACAGCTGCTCCAAAACAGTGTCCCCAGGACCTCAGGTCCTGTGTCAATAAAGACAACGTCACTTTGGACTACCACTGAGTGCCATCAAAAAAGTTATTTTTCCTGACGCCATCAAAAGAATATTTGATTAAAACTGGCTCTGGTTCAGCATGGAAGGCAGCACCAGGAGTGGCACTTAGGCTGTTCCTCCCCAACACCTTCATCACTTCTTCCCTCTGGCCACATCTGTATGGCACAACTGCCAGGCAACAGCAGGCAGCAGAACAGGGGATCCTAATGATCCTTTCTGATTACTGATTGCTGGACAGGCACTTCAGGAAAGCAAGAGGGCTGTTTCTCAACCATTGTGGTGCCTATGGTTAAGAAACAGAGTAAAACCACAGGGTGATCACTCCTTTTGCAGCATGTTTTATGTACTGGGAAGGAGAAGAGATGGGAATTCAGAGTAATGATCTTGCTGTGGGGCTGCTTCCCTTTTATGGATTCTCCCAAAGAGCTGGGATTTTAAAAGTACACTGGCCTTGAATGGAGTAGTTGGCTGGCTGATAGCTCCCCTGGCTCTAGATGTGTAGTGGAGGGAAACTTAAGTCATCAAACAATTGGCAGCTCCAGCATGGAGTAAAGTCAGTTGCTATTTCAGGGAAAGGAAAAGCAACTGTTCCCTGCAGGGAATGTCTGCACTACCTCAGAGCCAGGAATAGGCTGCGATTTTCAAACTTTTTTTCCACCCCACACTTCAGGAAAAGTGAACACACAATGTTCATTCGCAGGGATCGTTTCCTGAACATGATGTGTGCTCACTGTCCCACAGGTCACTTTCCAGTGTGTCACATCCTTCTGCACAAGGGAGAGCAGGAAATGGCAAACTCCCAGTATGAGGCAAAGCATTCCCATCGCAGCAATTGGTCCACAGGAGCTATAAATTGGTCTCCTCCAGAAACAGATCAAAATTTGTCTTCTGGGAGGGTGGCTGGAAACTGAAGGTAAGTTTGAACCAGTAATTTTTATGTGTCTCCGAGTTCTCTACTAGGAAAGTGTTTGCAGATTTTGGACTAAAGTATACCTTTAGTGCTGGGGAGATTTTTCTCTGTGAGCAGGAGGTGGATTTTTTTCTGCTGGTATTAATCAATATGAAAAGATTTGCATCACTCCATGGCCTATGTTAGCTATTGAATGATTGTTCTAATAATTCAGTGAGATAGTCACTGTTATTATCTGAGACAGTTCTCAGCAACTAAATCTTCAGAACAAATTGTTAAGAGGCTACTGGAATTGATATATTTAATGACCATCATATTGATCTGTTGTGAAGTTATTGGTGATATAATCATTGTCCATTTCAATGCTGGTATCCATTTAGATTGGTGTTAGTCCTTGTGTTTCTAGCTTTATTTCTAATTATAGTGTAAAAATAATAGGACACAGCTTCCAGTTGAGAGAAGCACAATGTATTAAGTGATTCAAATGACCCAATGACACCAAGAGACACTGGGGGCATTTTTGAAGGGCCCAGGGGGCATCTTAAAGGTGTGAGATGGATTAGGACAAGCCAGCAGAAGGGGGAAAGATTGCAGTGAGAATTCTTTATGAATACACTTCTGGATGGAAAGACTATGGTACAAAGTTTTCTCTTTCTGAAACATGAGGGTTCTGCAGAGTGAAGCCCCAAGGATCCTAACTACGCAGTGTGACTTTATGAGGGACCAGGCACCTTCAGTCCCCACAGTACAGAAGACTTAGAAGGGAAAAGGTAATGGCAGCAATGAATAGTTTCACTTGGCTTAGCGACAGGGTCTTTCTGCTACAGAGACTCCTTTTGGCTGTGAGGGCATTATGGGCTCCAAACAGCTTCTCAGCTCTCTGGCTGGACCTTGCTAGGTGCAGAGGCAGCACAGCTGTGTGCACAATGCAGTGCTGTGAAGCACAGAAACTCTGCTTCCACCAGACCATCAGCTACACCACTCCTGTTGGCTCTGTTGCCTCAGGTTCCCTGTAAGCAGGACTGAAGTTGCTGGCTTCCTTTGTAGCATTTTGCAGCCCTAGAGCAACCTGAAAATGTTTATTGGAACATTTCTTTCTGCACTTGTGGTAAGGAACAGAGACAGCAAGCAGAGATTGTCTAGCACAGAAACACTGAAGATTGATCTCCTAGAAGCAAAGCCTCTCCTGCTATCTTGCCAGGGGAGGTTTCCCAGACCCAGCAGTTTTCAAGCTTTTTCTATTCACAGGCTTCTGTATTTCCCGTTTCCCCATCTGCAAGGGAGTGCACACTAAAAATGGGCCTGCTTTTCTATGTGCTGTTCACGACTCTTATTAACAAGGTACAGAGGCCCCCATGCCACTGTAACTGGGTATTTATAACCACAGGGCTAAGCACCACAGAACAATAGTTCCCATCTTTGTTCATACACTGACACTAAGTTACAACAGGAAAAAAAAACTCATGCTGCAGGGCCTTGAGTTGCTGAAGCTTAAAGAAAGGAAGGATGTTCACAATACCCATCCAAGGCATTAATAAACTCCTCACCTCCTATATGGAAAATTCAGACATAGACTCCACTCAGCAGCTTCCCTCTGTCCTCCTTTAATAGGAAATCACCCCTAAACAAAAACCTGGGATGGTGGCTTTCACCTCCTTGGAGTCTGACCTTTCTTGTGAAAGATGTTCTTCTATATTGCAGATCCTCTGAATCCCATTGGGGGACAACAGATTAGTTCTGGCAGCATTACTCCTCTGGGCACTGAGTCACCTAATCTCAGGGGAATTTCTGTCCCCAGGGTTTCAAAAGACCTTTTGTGTCTTCACAGAGATAATGGTAGCAGCACCTCTGACCCCAGTCCTCAGGATATTTCAGACTTTGCAGGGATTAAGAAAAACATTTTAAAGTTTTACTATCTGAAAGTTACAATGGAATATGTAATTAAAAGTACACATTCATATGGGTATGTGTGTGGACGTGAGTGTGCACGCGTATGGAGATGGAAAACCTTTCTTGTAGCTGGGCTGAAGCAACAAAAATTTGGCTGGATGCCATCCCTGAAACGGTGGTCCAGGATGAGCATGTCTCATGGGGGCTTTTTGACATAAATCCCACCCCAGACTTTTCTTTCTCAGGACAGAAGCCATGGAGAGGAACGGTGCTGCCTTTCTGCCGACACCAGACCCCACGCACCACTTCCACGTAGCGCTGCTGGATCAGAGGCGGAGGCTGCGTGGCCAAATCGCTCACCTTCACAAGGCAGCTCGGAAACTCAACCAGCTGCGCAAGAGGTCCCTGATCGCCAACGTCAGCGGGAGCACGCTGACCGCTGCCGGAGCGGTCACAGCCATCCTGGGGCTGTCCCTGAGCCCGGCCACGCTGGGAGCCTCTCTGCTGGCGTCGGCCGTGGGTCTGGGCCTGGCCACGGCTGGGGGGGCCGTCAGCATCACTTCCGACCTCTCCTTAGTGCTCTGCAATTCCCGGGAGGTCAGGAAGGTGCAGGAAATTGCAGTGACTTGTCGGAAACAGATGAGGGAAATACTCGGCTGCCTGGAGTTCCTTCGGCGGGGGCAGGGCCCGGGCGACCCTGCGCTGCGCCAGTCGGAGAAGAGGGCATCCATCTCGCTCTACAACTCCGTCTGCTTCATGGTCTTCTGCGGCTCCCACAGCTTCCTCGTGCCAGAATGCACAAAGGAGGTCACTAAAGTAAGCCAGGCTGTGCTGAGGGCCAAAATCCAGAAGCTGGCTGACAACCTCGAGACCTGCACCAGGGCAATGGATGAAGTCTGTGATCTTCTTGAGTCCAGAGCAGAGCTTTCCCCACGTACGAGGAGACTCAGCTTGCGTGCTAAAACCACTGCCAAGAGCCTGAGACCGTCCAGCTGAAACAGTGTTTGGTCCATATTAAAACTGGGTTTGGAGGCATTACATTATTAACTGTGAGCATTAGCATTGCTACCTGTTGTTTTACAGTTCACGGTGCTGATGCTGTGAGGCAGACATTCTGCAGACCCCTTTTTCCCCAGCCATCTCCACTGCCCTTCTTCCCCAAGGCAGCAAAAAGAAGTAGGTCAGGAGGCAGATGAAAATACCTGATGCTGACTGAACCTGGTTTGTAAACAATTTATGAATTTGTGTGTGGTACAAGGGCTGGAGTACCCTAAAAAAGCCAGCAGCTGCCGATTTCCAGTAGAGTACAATCCCATTACCAAGGTACATCTGGAAAGGCTGCAGAAAGAAGCTGCAGCTCCAGATATGACAGACTGTATGGATCGTTCACCATCCCAGGGTGAAATAGCAGGGCCAGAATTTATCCATTTTGGAGAAACCTCTCCAGACTGAGAACTGTGATGTTTGCATTCTATTTATTTACCTAGAATGATTTTAAGCTTGTGATATTGTATTTAAGAGTGTATATATTTTTTTTTTCTTTTTTTTAAAGGAGGCCTCTGTTCCAAAGGAAAGCTGTTGTTTTTTAGAGTAAAAGCAAGTCTGTAGCATGTGAGAGCAAGTTACCTGTTATTTTGCTGTGAGGGAGGGCAAATCCCTGTAGGACAAGGAAAGCATGACCTGAATGCTGATAGTAATAAAATAGGTGAAACAGTTCAAACAGTGACAATAAATTTTAGGAGCCAAAACAGAGAGAAGAAGAGTGGCCCTGGGACCAGAGTCTGCCTCAGGGCGTTGGTGGAAGGAAGCAGTTGTATCTCCTGCAGCAGGAAGGGAAGGGTAGGTTGGTGTTATGTGATGGGAGCACACCTGAGAGGTGGAGGTGCCACTCTCCATGCAGTTGAGCAGCCTGTGAGACCCAGAGTGGATCATCTGTGAGGGGGGAGGCAGCACTCATGGAAAGCTACACGTACTCCTAGCACTGCTTCCCACAAAAGGCTTCATATCAGTGAAATACTTGTGGGTACTAATATTCAGGAGGGGTAGGGAGGAGTAGGATGATTCAGTGGCAGAGCCCCTACAAAGCAGGAGCAAGGACCGGGACCCTGTTTCAAGTGACTGTTCTGCTGAATATGCCCTTTGTGATTTTGAGCCATCAGTACCTCAGTTCCCTGTCTAAAAACGGGGATAGTAGCACTTCCCTACCTCACAAGGTCTGGGATCACCCCACTGAGCCATCAGTACCTCAGTTCCCTGTCTAAAAATGGGGATAGTAGCACTTCCCTACCTCACAAGGATGTGTCTGGGATCACCCCACTGAGAAGTGCCCAAGTATGGTGATGATGGGGATCATGTCAGTACCTGAAAGAGGTACAAGGAAGAGACCCTGAAACTAGCTTGAGGTGACTCAAAGAGGTAATGCAGAGGTAACTGCCTCCACAAGCATGCCCCAGTGGATAAGGGAAACTTCGCCGCACAGGCACAAATCCAAGTGATCAGAAAAACCTACCCTGTAATTCTGCAACACTGACCAAATTCTTAGGGGGGGCAGCACTTCGTGCCACAAAGGTTGAATCCTTGTCCTTTTTGTCCCTTCTTTTCATTATATCAACTTTGTTTTAATATGTTGTAAGAAGAATAAAAGCTCTGTTTCCCCAGAGTGGGACTCAAATGCTTTTGATACCCATGCCTGTTTGCCAGAAATGAACAAGTACACTGCTGATTCAAATAAATGAATATGAAGCACTTTTGTGTCAATGTCTCTCAGCACTCCTGGAGGTGATGTGCTGCACACATTGTGCATCTCGTCTCTTTATGCACCCCTTATGAAATAGCTGATGATATATCTGCACTAAAATTCATCTGCTGGGGATGCTCTCACCCTGCCCCTGCTAAGGACTGTAACATGCAGTAGAGCCAGGAGCACATTTGTTTAAAAGCCCTGGAGTGACAATTTCTAAATCCAGTATAATCTGCAGTGTCCTGTGTTGAAAAGCACAAAAAAGGAATTACTGCTTAGAAGCTGTATATTTATTTTATCATGCATGAATGCTCCCAACAGCAGTTTAGGACAGGAGAAAACTTTCATTCAAATACATCTGTTGGCAATAGGGACCTACACAAACTGGAATTTCACCAGAACAGAATTGCTCCACCCTGCTCCCCACTAAAGCAGCACCATATGATATGGGCAAGGAGTTCAGAAAAGAATCACAAGCAGTGGCTTCCTGTCACATCCCTGGCTCCATTTCCTGAGGCATCCCAGTGACCCTTACAGGGGCTCATGTCTACGTGCTGGCCAGGCTTAGCCTTTAGCACTAATGACAAACTGCAAGCTGATGGTCAGGCTGCTGTAATTTTTGAAACATATGGTAACAAAGGGTGGTTTTGGGGGGTTTTTTTGGTTTTAATTTATCACTGCTCCTGAGCACAGCGGGATGCAGCCATTTCATTTTTACTCCTGCCCATGAATTGTTTCGGGTTTCCTCTTCTTTCCCTGTCACGCAGAGAGTTCGTTCGTATTTCCTCTCACTTTCCTCATTGTTCTGGGCACAGAGGAAATGCCACGCTCGGAATCCAGGGACAGATGCTGCAGTGTATCGGCATTTCCACTGAGAGCACGCCCAGACAGACTTCCCAGAGACAGAGGGGAAAAAAAATTCATAATTCATACTTCAAAAATTCATACTAGCAATTATCATCATCAGGAAAACAATGTAGGGCAATGACAGCTCTTTTCTCTCTTCCCATCACTAGTGCTTCAAAATGTTTCATACCAACGCATCTGAAGCACTTAATTTTTTCTCTATATGCTAAACCATCTAAGTTTATAAATATTATAGCCTTTTTGAGGCTGGGGAGCTCATTTTGCCTGTTCTTTCACAGCTGTAGAAGGTATGAACTGGGAACAGCATCAAGCACTGCGGCAGCCACACAGCGCTGAGTGCAGGCCCAGGCTGGGCCGCTCGGGGTTACCGCCGGGCGGGGAGCCGGGCAGCCTTCCCCACAGCCACTTCAGGGTGTCCCTGTCCCTGTCCCAGGAGAGGCGCCTGGGGATCCGCAGCTCTCCCTTCCCTGGGCACCCCTCGGAGCTGAGGGAGAACCCTCCCGATCCGCTCGGCTCTTCCTCCGGAACTACAACTCCCGTCGCGCCCCGAGGAGGACTACAGCTCCCAGAGTGCTCCGCCCTGCAGCCGGAGGGGACGGGCCAAGATGGCGGCAGGCGAGGAGGAAGGGTCTGCGCCGGAGCCGGAGCAGGAACAGGAGGCGGCGGCCGAGGAGCCGCGGAGCTTCAAGGACTTGGTGAGCCTGGGCCGGACTCGCTTCTCCCTCTGGTGCTCGCTGCCTTGTCCCGAGGAGCAGCGTGCTGCTCCCGGCGCGGGTGCGGCCCGGGAGCTGCCCGCGGGGCGGGCACGTGCGGCGGGCAGCGGGACCGGGCCGGGCCGGGCCGGGCAGGGGCTGCGGGCGCTCGGCCGCTGCCCCGCTGCGGTTGGCATTGCTGCTCCCATCGCCGCTCCCATCGCCGCTCCGCAGCCGGCCGCCGCTGTCTTCAAGTTGTCTTAACTTGACGCGGTGTTTTTTGTTTTCTATGGTCATGGGTCACCCTGAGGTGAAGAGGTAGATGTGTGTGGGGAGGGAAGTTCCTTGTGTAGACTAGGCTAAAACCGACCATATTCTTCCTGTGGCAGTCATCTCTAACAGATTTGGAACAAATCCGATGAAGTTCCTGGTGTCGGTGGGGGTCACTGTGAGCAGCCTGCCCTTTCAGAGAGTTGTGCTGGGGCCTCGTGTGGTTTGTCTCCCCTAGAGATGAGTTGGCTCTGCTGCAGCGTGTATTTAATTTAACTCTGTGATTTAATTTAGGTGTTTTTGGTGATACCTGTTTCCCTTTTCTCTTGTTGCTAATGTCCAGGGAGTGACAGATGTCCTGTGTGAAGCTTGTGACCAGCTGGGATGGAAGGTGCCAACGAAGATCCAGGTTGAGGCTATTCCAGTGGCTCTCCAAGGTGAGCAGTGTACTGCTTTGGTCCTGAACTGGGGACTGCTCCAGGAGCTCTGTGTGAAGGAATTTTGCTGAGTGAGAAGGATCAGGGATGAGTGTGTCCCAGCTTCTTCATTGTTGAGGATCTCTGTCTAAAAGTAGTTTTCATATTCATTCTGTGTCCTTCCCAGGTGGAGCTTGGAGCACTGGTTTATCCTATAACACAGCCTGCAGTCACAAACTTCAAATGGGCACAAACCTTGTTCCTTGAGTGTTCACTCTTGGTGTAGTTCTGACACTCCATGTCAAATAGAATCCTATTGATCATTTGAACTGCTAGTCCACATTGATCATTTTGTTCCTGAAATACTCAGGGATATACAAGGAAGCTCCAGTAGGTTTTGGACTGTGCTGCTTCTGGTAGAGACCTGCAGAGTGTGTTTGTGTGTGTGTGTCTGACTGAAAGTGAAGATGCCTTGACTGATTCCTTAGTGTGTATAATTTGCTTTGCTGTGAGCAGTCAACTCTTTGAAATTAGATTTCTGAGGTGAGTAATAATCAAACCACAGTGACTTTCTGTAAGCATTCTGGAATTACAAAAAAATAAATTACTGAATTGAGCAGACATTTCTGCCTCTAGAATTTTTTTAACAAAACCCCCCAGAACACTCTCAAGAGGAAAGGAACAACATAGTGATAGAATGGGAGCAAACTTTCAGTGCCTGCTCTGTCCTGGCATTTAACTTTTGTCAGACTCTTTTACTACACATATAAGATTCTCTTGGGGAAAAAAAAAAACAAACACCAAGGTAAGACTGCATGCCTGAGAAATTGTTTCCAGTGTAAGGGTGTTGACAGCATGTTCTTCTCGGCTGCATGAGCTCAGGAGGTCATAATGGATTCTGTTGATGAATTCCACCCTGTTGCCTGCATTGTTTTGGGGCAAAAGACTTTCTGTCCTACCCTTCCTACTGAAGGAACTGGTTTAGATTGCCCTGTTAATCAATGGCACAATTGTGCTTTGTGAAATGTGAGATTGGTAGTGCTGTTGTCCTGTAGTTTGCGTGATTGAAGTCTCAAACACCAGTCTTTTTCCTTGTAAGCCAAAAAACAGACATTTGGACTAGAATAGTGAAGTAGAGTCGTTAAGCTGTAAACTGATGTCAGATTTGAGACATTATAAAGTACCTAAGTTTTGTATGAAACCCTGTATATTAACAGAAATTTAACTAGAAAATAGACTATTGAGACTGTAATCATTGTACAAATAAAATAGCAGTCTAAAAATGCTTCAGAGACATTCTGAAATTCTTTGGTTTGGCCCTTTGTGGGTTGTTTTTTTGGTTTGTTTTTTTTGCCTTCTGTGTGTCTGCCTTTTTTTCTGTCCTTAGGGAGTTCTTATGTTTTGTAGCACAGTGCTTTAAAGTCTTCATTTTCTGTTCTGGATGTGTAACAGTTTTTTGCCCCCTTGCTCCTTCTTGCAGGCAGAGATGTCATTGGACTGGCAGAAACTGGCTCTGGAAAAACAGGAGCCTTTGCTTTGCCAATTCTCCAAGCACTGCTGGAAACACCTCAGCGATTATTTGCTCTTGTGCTCACACCAACAAGGGAGCTGGCCTTCCAGATCTCTGAGCAGTTTGAGGCTCTTGGATCCTCCATTGGTGTTCAAAGCAGTAAGTAGCTTTTGTGGTATTGGGCCAGTTTTTCTGAAGACCAGTTTGTCAGCTTGAGATTGCAAAGATAAAAATAGAGGATTTGTATGAGGGGTTGGAGAAAATGTGAGAAAAGCTTATGCTGCTGGAAAACAGAGATCTGGTATCAGGTTTGAGAAAAAAAGACTGTGTGGTCTTTCCTCATGGAGTGGTCACAGCTCTGTTGCTTTCTATGTCTAAATAGTTAAAGGTGGATGTAGAAGAGAATGTTCTCAATAATGGTTTGTGTCCAGTGAAATTGCAAAGAGCTCCCTGATATGGTGTGATGTAGTTTAATCTTCCTTTCAGACTGTCTGTATTGATTCTTTAGATAATCTCTCAAAAAAAGCTTTGTGGGTATTTTTAGAATGCCTCGATTTTTGCAGCTGAGTTAAACAGTAAGGAAGAGATTTCTGCCTGTAGCTCTTCAGCTGTGAAAATAAAATACTTGTGGCCAGTAAGGAATTAATAGTATGGCTTAAGAAGCCTAGGAAGGCCAGATATGCTAAAATAAAATAAATTCTCATAACAATAAGTAGCTTTTAATTTGTACAGAATTGCTGTGGGTGGTGGGCAGTCAGAGTAAACACTCCAGTGCTTGGGGTGGGCTGGTGCTACACTGAGGGATTCACTCTGCTCTGTTTGTCCTGCAGCGGTTATTGTGGGTGGAATTGACACCATGTCTCAGTCTCTGGCCTTAGCCAAGAAACCACATGTTATAATTGGTAAGTTGATGTGCTGGGGATGTGAAGTGTGAATATTATCCAACTGCAGCTAACCAAAGGAAGGAGAGTACATCCTTCATTTGTGTTTTGTCCCAAGCTCTGAGTACTGGCTTGTTAATGTTTCTAAAGCGTCCACCAGTAACTTTGTTGCTACAAGCTCATTCCAAGGCATTCCTGCTAGACCTAGAGGGCTTTCGGCTTGTTTTTTCATTCTCCTTAAGTATTTGAAATGCTGGTCTCATCCTTTGCAGTACAGCTTGTCTACAGTCTCTTTTGTGTCACTTCTTTTAGGACATTCTTCAGAGAATCTGACTCCGTTAGTCTTATTTCAAAACACTCTCTGAAGATACTCTACGAAAGAATTATTCCCACAAAAAGCAATCTTTACTTTTCCTGGGCAAAAAATCCCATTTTTGTAATGGACAGCTGTCTTGCCTGTTTGGATCTTTTCCTCTGCTTTCATTCTGAATTTGCTCTCGTTGTGCTGTTGGTAGCAACCCCTGGCCGTCTGGTTGATCATCTGGAGAACACAAAGGGCTTCAACTTACGGGCTCTGAAGTTCCTGGTGATGGATGAGGCTGACCGGATTCTTAACATGGATTTCGAGACAGAGGTAGGGATCTGCTAAAAGATGAGTTTGGAACAGATGAGTCCCTTTAAAATCGCTTCCTGCGGGCACATGGGAAACACTGAGCTGTTCTGTAGAAATTAGTAGTAAATTGTAACCAAGATCTAATAATTACACACGAGTCTGTGGTGGGATTAGAACATAGCCGAGTTCTGCAGAGCTCTGCCAAGGCAGTAGGAGGCAATTTTGTCTCCAAAATCCTCTGGTGTCTCTGGAGTGCCTATGTAGAATGTAGTTAGTGTGGAAAACAATCACACATTCCTGCAGAAACATTGCCTGATATTTGCACTGTTGTTGGACTTTTGGAGTTCACACTGCCTAATTGTCAACAAGATATCAGCCTACACCTTCCCTTTAGAAGAAAAATATTTGTTCTTACTGTATGTTTACACATGCATTACTCTTCATGTGGATGATCTTTATATTTGTGGAAGGTTTGTGTTTTGCTTGCTTGTAGTATTTAGTATTTCCATTTCCTTATTTTTTTACAGGTGGATAAGATATTAAAAGTGATTCCTCGAGACAGGAAGACATTCCTGTTTTCTGCCACCATGACCAAGAAGGTGGGAGCAGACTAATCTGTTTTAAGTCTCCTTTCATCAGGCTAGCCTCTTGACTAGACTGTATTAAATACAATTTTCTGACAAGATCTCTGTCCAACCACATTTCATTGATCTTACCAGGTTCAAAAACTCCAGCGTGCTGCTCTGAAGAATCCTGTGAAATGTGCTGTTTCTTCCAAATATCAGACAGTTGAAAAGCTACAGCAGTACTACATTTTCATCCCCTCCAAATTCAAGGTAATGGCACTTCTGTTTCTTCTCTCTTACTGTCTTTTCTTGTTCCCACATCTGTCCAGTATCTTGTCATTTTCTGAGTCCTAGACTTGATGTTGCACATGTGATTATCTCTGAGGTGTTTTGAATTCTCTCTCTGTTTCTCCATCTGTCCAGTATCTTGTCATTTTCTGAGTCCTAGACTTGATATTGCACATGTGATTATCTCTTGAGGTGTTTTGAATTCTCTCTCTTTTGAATTCTCTCTCTCCTGTTTCTTTACAGGACAGCTACCTGGTTTATATCTTGAATGAACTGGCTGGTAACTCTTTCATGATATTCTGCAGTACATGTAACAATACTCAGAGGACTGCTCTGCTGCTCCGCAACCTGGGGTTCACTGCCATTCCCCTCCACGGGCAGATGAGCCAGGTATGGGCATGAACCCTCAGAACAGAGTAGGCAGGGGGCCTGGGGCTTGGGAAGTGGGCTGCACCATACTGAGTCACACCTGCCTTGCAGGAGGAGTATTTCACAGCTAGTGCACTGGACTGATCCATAGAAATTTACCTAATGTGAATGCTGCTGCTGATTCTGTAATATTTAAAAAAAAAATTAGAGAAGTGAAATTTTTGAGTAGTTTATCCCTCAGTTATTTTGTGCCAGTATCTTATCAAGAGGATATTAACTAGAAACTAGAATGAGTGTTATTCTCTCATTCTCTTTTCATCCTTTTTCCAGAATAAACGTTTGGGCTCTCTAAACAAGTTCAAAGCAAAGGCACGTTCTATTCTGCTGGCTACTGATGTTGCAAGCAGAGGTCTGGACATCCCACACGTGGATGTGGTGATAAACTTTGATATTCCTACCCACTCTAAGGTAAGCCTGTCTGTGTGCCAGCTGAGAGCTTCTGGTCACTGGGAGCAGATGGACAAAGGAACAGAGACATCTTTTCTCTGTTCTGCTGACTGGCAGCCTAATTCATGATTTTGTACATTGAAAGGTGTAGTTCAGCCTCTGCTATTGAGTTGGTATCTCTGTTTGCATGGTCTCATGGCCTGGGTTGTAGAAGTGATTCTGTAAGTGAAGAAGTAAGGAATGGTCTGTGTCTTTGCATTTCTGCTCAGCTGTATGTTTTGCCCTTTTACATTGAAGGACTTTGAAAACAATTTTAACATGTTCCTAGTTTCATGTAGTCATCTCTGTGTACACAATCCAGGTCTGCCTTCATATTTTAAGCTGTGTTAAAAAAAAAAGAATAAATTCTGTGATTATGACATTGAAAAAGCATTTGTCTGTGTCCAGATCTGCCTTCATGTTTTAAGCTGTGTTAAAAAAAAAAGAAAAAAAATAATTCTGTGATTATGACATTCAAAAAGCATTCAGTTAAGAAAGGTGTCCTTAATATGTCTCACCTTCATATCACAAAAGTACAGCAAAAGGAAAAGAAAGTAAGTTACCAACTCTCTGTATGGAAAGTATGGGGTTATCTCAGGGATGTGACTGTTTCCCAGCTTAGTTCCAGAAAGCATACCCTTAACCTGCACTTCAGGAATTGCTGTTGTTGCTTACAATGACTAAAGATACCGTGCCTTGCAAACAGAAGAAAGCATGGCAGGTCTTTTGAAGACACTCCTTTTGTAAAGGCACAAAAGTAAGAAAAAAACCCAGTGGGGGCAGCAGCTTGAATGGTGTTATGGTCTTTGTGCTCTTTTTCTCATCTAACCCATGGAACAGATCCTTTCTTACAATCCTCTCTCTGTAAGTCCTCTATGGAGAAGGGAGTATTTTAATTTCTATAATGTAGTATAAACCCTGGAAAACAGCCTAGAACCATATTGACCAAAGATGCTCAATAGATCAGACTCTTCTAAACTATTCTCAATCATCCTCTCTTTGACCATGCTTACCAAGTTTTAGTCTACTTGCCAGAGAGTTTCTCTGGAAGATGAGCTATGCAGAGCACTAGATTCCAAGACTGAAAATGCAGGCATGGGGTCACTGTGAATATTAGCTTTCCAACAAAGTGATAGTGAGTTTTAGCTTTCCGAGGAAGTGAGAGTGAAGTCTTGGCAAAGGTCATGTATTGCAACTTTCATCCTGCAGTCTGGAATAATTGGATTTGATCTTCTCATTTAGAAAGAGAAGGAATTCAAATGTTAAAAGTGAAGTTGTGCCTCCACTTAGGCTCTTCTCAAAATCTGATGCTGCACACTCTCCTGTGAATTTAATGCTGGCAGTATGTTCTTGACATTCTCTTGTTCTTTCCTAAAGAGAAAATATATAGGCTGATCTGCCATAAGATCTGTTCTGTGTTTGGTGAACATGTATTATTGCTTATCGAGAAAATTCTTTCCAGGATTACATTCATCGTGTTGGGAGAACAGCTCGAGCTGGGAGATCTGGCAAATCTATCACCTTTGTCACACAGTAAGTGATAAAATTTAACAGACTTATTCTTTACAGCTGTGTTTCAGAGCAGAAAATATATGACCTTATCCTGGGTGAGAATAAAATAGTAATTTACATTTTGAAAATGAAAATTGGTATTTTATTCTCACCCTGTTGGTGCCAGTTGGTTTTATTTAATTAAAGGGGAGTGAATTCAAAGCCCAGAGTGGGGAGGGAGAAAAGTCTAGAAAAATTCTAGAAGCAGGCATTCATTGAGCAGAATGGTTTATAACTGGACTATACAATATATTATATATTTTTTAAATATATAATGCAGGTTAAGTAACTCTGGGGGCATTTTGGGGAGTGAATTCAAAGCCCAGAGTGGGGAGGGAGAAAAGTCTAGAAAAATTCTAGAAGCAGGCATTCTTTGAGCAGAACAGTTTATAACTGGACTATACAATATATTATATATATTTTTTAAATATATAATGCACGTTAAGTAACTTTGGGGGTGTTTCATAAACACTGAAGTATTTGTCTAAAAAGAAAATCTTTACCAAATACTGCTGAGCAGAGATGGGATGAGCTGCATAAATCAGAGAAGCCATGCCGAAAGGCATCATTTGGATGCAGCTGAGCTGCTTGTGAGACCATCAGCACAAACCAACAGTACCTGTGGGCTGGAGATAAGGGCTGAAGTGTGTGTGGTGACAGCTGAGGCCCCTCAGGAGGGCTGATTGAAGCTGGTGCCTTGTCTTCCCTCAGGTATGATGTAGAGCTGTTCCAGCGCATCGAACACCTGATTGGCAAGAAGCTGCCAGCATTCCCCATGCAAGAGGAAGAAGTCATGATGCTGACAGAGCGTGTGGCTGAGGCCCAGAGGATTGCTCGAATGGTGGGTGCTGGCTTTTTGACCCTGTCCTTGCTGTTGTAGTGTGAATTTCTTCAGTGCCAAACTCTGGGTCCATGTGTCGATTGCATTGCAGGAGCTGCGGGAGCAGGGGGAGAAGAAGCGATCGCGGAACGATGATGATGACACAGAAGAGGCTATTGGTGTCAGGAATAAGGTGGCAGGAGGGAAAAAGAAGAAAAGGAAAGCCTTCTAGTTTGGTATTTGAACAGACGTTTTTATTTTTCTCTTTATATCTGTCTGAGCTATCAAAAACAGTCTACCAAGCCATCTCCAGTGGATTTTTTTCCAGAACTACATATGAAATTTGGCAGTCCCTGAGGAAAAAAAACCTGCTTTTCTTTGCCAGCTACAGATGGAGCTTGGCCCATGTTGGTACCATGGTAGCAGTTTTCCTTTCAGGGACACCGTCAGAGACCATCACCTCTGGCCTGGAAGCAGCTGTGGTCTGGCCCTGCTCATTTTACTATGAAGTGCAGCATGAGTGCAGCTTTTGCACTGCTGCAGCCTGTCCCACTATCCAATCTCACTGAGTGCATCTGGAGTCAGATCTGTCAGAAGAAAGAGGAAAAAGTTTAAAAGAAGTGACTGTTTTCACAGCACAGCTGTGATGCCCTTGCCTTGGTGAAGGGATGTGTTACACTGAGAACTCAAAATATATTTTGCTTAATTTTAAAGCTACCTGGTTTTCCTTGTCTTGTCACTGACCTGTTCTGGTCACTTTGTGTATCAGCTCTGCCAGAAGGTTTTCTTCTTGGGTCAATCCTAGCAATTCAGATGTGACATCAGTGCCTTAGATTTTTCAGCTGAAGAGTGGTCCAGCACAGAGAGAACAAACTTCAGCAGGATGAAACATTCACTGCCTGGAATTAGATCCAATACCTGCTGATGATTGACACCATCAAGGATAGGTCAGGGTTTGGCGTGGGGTTTTTGTGGCCGATTCCCGTAGTACTTACAAGTGAACACAAGAGGGGGGTATTTACGTTGGAAAGCAACTCGCCTGTTTTTCTGCACTTCCCAGCTTGTATCCTGGAAAGCTCTTTGTTTCCCTAGGCAGGGAATTTTGTTACTCTTAGGCTGAGTTCCATGACAGATAAATACACTTTTGCAAGAATGAGATAAATGTACTTGATATAAAACCAGAAGGTTACTGCTAGTTCTCATTGACAATAAAAATTTTCATACAGGATGTTCCTGTTGGCAGGCAGAGAACAGGGAGAAGCTCCTGCATATGTAAATTTACTGAGAACATGAAAATTTAATATCCAGTAGAACTATTCATAAACTGGATTTTGTGCTACATGAAAAATAATGTTTAAAATAGTCCTTTTTAGATCTAAATAGAAAGTAGAAACTATTGCAGTGGTCAAGTTGAGCACAGTGGTTATTTCACACTGTTGGCATAAATCTTGTATGCCAGTCAGAATGCTTTTACACTTTTGTTAGGGACAGCACATTTTGCAAAGAAATGCCAGAAAACCTAGGTCTGTTTTTTCATGAGGATCTGAGGTAGTCTTTGGAGCAAAAAGAATGCCAGTGTTCTCACTCTTTGTTTATGTTGTAGCAGTTTACTTAAATCTCCCAAATATCTTCAAGCTCTAAAATGGTCTTGATTCAGTGGCAGATCATAAGTGTACAAATCTTGGGTATGGTCACTGCTAAGAGCCTTTGTGTAAAGGAGAAAAAGTGTTTATCTTCCCTGGGTCCTAGCACAGAGGGCCAGGGGTGAAAGCCCATAAATGAGAACATTTTACAGGGCTCTTTGGTAGCAAACCACACAGATAAGAGGAAACAGCCCTAGAATGCACCAGAGACGGAACAAAATGAGTGATAATATGGGTGGAGATGCAAGTGCTTGTTCCCCATGGAGCATGGGAACACTCCCAACTGTCCTGCTGGGAGCTTGAACAAAATTCCTTATTCTTTGCAGGCAGGATAGAGTTGGTTCCAGTATAAGCAAAGGAGGCTTAAATCTGAGGGTCCTGCATCCCTGGAAAACCAGTGTTATTCCTAGCTATGTAATCGTTGAGATGCAGAGTCAGTCTTGAACCAGTCTTGTAAAGTGATGTGAAGGGCACTTTGACTGCTGGAGGAGGTAGGGCAGAGTAATTTCTTTCAGAATTCCTTTCAGGTTGTTGGAGTCTGTAGCATCTCACTGTGTTCTTCCTATTCAGAAGCCTGCAACAGCAGAGGGGATGTCTTGTCCCTTGGTGGAGTCAAAGATTATCCCTCTTTTGCTGTAGCAAGAATATTGGTAGAGAGAAATAGAGCTGCTGCTTGTGAAAGAGTACAGAGCCTCATTGAGAGGAGTGACTAGACAGCTGGCCACCTCCCTTGATTTGGAATGACAAGCTGTAGAAGCACTTGACATTAGAAAAGCAAAGGTCTCACCACACCCACATTCTCACTGGTGCCTCACCTGCCACAGGTATGTGCATTCAGTTTCAACTAAAAATATCTCAACAGGTTGGAGGGGCAGGAAATGGTTTCTTTATTGTGGCTACTCCAGGGGGGCTGGGTCAGAGGGTGTTTTTATAACTGAAGTGTAATAGGGAGTGTCCGGAGATGTATTTGGGCAAAACAGAATTTGCAGCCAGCCTAAAACAAAATCTCTAGCTGATCTGATGAAACATGAGGGGAAAAGAATGAAGTGAGACCTGTCTCTCTCTGAATAAATGTTCAGAAAAAACCAGCACTGGTATGTGTGTGGCTGCATACTTTCGTACAACAACTGCTGCCAGTGTGTTTGTTCAGTCAGGAGGGCTTCTGAGGGGCAGTTCTGAAGCACACCCCTGCACCCTCTGGAGTTTCACGCAGCAGGGAGCTGAGTGGAGGATTAACCTTAGCATGACGTAAGGTAGGTTTGGGCTAACACAATTTGTCATCTTTTTGTGGTTGAAACTCAGATGAAGTTTCAGTGAAAGCTGTGTTCTCAAAAAATGTTCAGTGGGGATGTTTGCAGTTTGAAACAGTTGTGCACTTCCAAAGTCCATCATGAGAAGGTGATTATTTATATATTTGTAATACATATTTTAAATTATGCCTTATGGTTTTGATTTTTAGTACTGTGTAGGTGGGTACTTGGGGCAGTAAAAAATAGGGATAGAGTATCTTTCATTTGAATGTTCTAGAGCTAACAGAAGTGGGTCAACCCTTGTGAGGGGAGAAGTAAAATTAAATATGGATGTTAGTGTGGATAACTAACTTCAAGATAAGTGACAATAGCTGCAAAATAGTAGCAGTCCCTGCAACCACCCAGTGGTCCAGTACAGAAGCTGCATTGAACCGACCCATCTGAAAAGGGTTTGGCTGTGTCAGTTGTCAGTGCCATGCACCTCCTGCCCAGGGGCTGCAAGAGAAGGCATGGGCCAGAAAGCACAGCTGGGAACCAAAGTGGGCAATCCAGGGCCTTCTGTGGCAGCAGGAGTAGCCTAATCTTCTAAAAGTAATGAGGCACACATGAACTGATTCAAGGACCTGACTGCCCACCTGTCCCCTGCCCCCAGAAAGGTAGAGATAACTAAAGAGGGAGAGCTGAATTCCATGACTTTCTAGCAACACCACTAACTTGTGCTGAGAAGAGTCTCAGTTTAGGAGGAATTCTGAGAAGTAATTGGCAATCTGGAAGGCCTTAGTTTACAAATCAGGACTGAAGTGAGTAAAAATTCACAGTGTAACCAAGCACAGAAGAAGGAGAATAACAAAGCTCTTGAACATACCTAAGAAAGAATGGAATTCATTGCATGACCTGTGAAAGGCACAGGCATGTACCAACCACTCTGGTGATGTATAAATGTGAAGTTGTGGTTTGCCTGCAATGACACGTAAGGAGCTTCTGTAAACATTCAAGTGAGCAATGAATTATTGTAAATGTTGCAGAGTAAATACTGTAAAAATCCAGCTTTGGTGCCAGATGTAGTTTATGTAGTCATTCTGAATTTTTACTCCTCTTCTTTATGTACTTAGTAGAATTTTCTCTTTTTTTTTTTGGAGGGGGGGGCAGGGGGAACCCCCAACAATTGCAAACACAGAGAACTGGGTTTCTGACAGAATAACAAGATTTGAGTTGACTCCTGAACTTTCAAAAAAAATAAAATGGTTGAAAGATATTTTCTTAGTTTTCAGATGGCTTTTTTTCATGGTCTGACTAGGAAAGCTCCTTTTGAATAACAACATTTAAAAGGGAGAACTAAGAAAGTTTTGTTCCTCTGGCACCTAAGAAATGGAAATGATTACTTGATCTCTGGCCCAAGCATGAATACAGCCATGCCTCCAGTGCTGTATCTCTTCCTGAGGACCTTTCAAATACAGAAATGTAGGGTGATGACAATAACACTTTCTCTCTGCTTCCAAAGCCCCCCCAGGGCAGCAGTGTTTGCCTTCCTGAGCGTGGTAATTGAGTATCTGTCATGCCATGTCTCGTGGTAGGATGTGCTGGACTGTGCCAAGGTCATGCCTAGTTGTGCAATAGAAGACACTGGCACTGTGCAGTTTTTAGATGTTGATATTGTAGTTCCTCAGGGAGGGGTGGATGCCTTTGGAGCTTGTTCAACACTTTTTCAGGGAAGCCTGAAGCTGTGTTTCCTAGAGGTTAACACAGAGTAATTTGGCATGCCCAAAGGGAAGAGAACTCTTTACCTTTACCTGCTCTTCAGGAGGATACTCATTGCAGAAATGTACTTGCTGGTCTGTTGTCTCTCTCTTCAATGAAGGTGGGATAGAGCTCATGTAAAAGGCTTCTGCCTTCCTTTGGGCTTGGTGCTTGTAAAGGGTCCTGAGGAAAGGGAAAGGTAATGTGGGCTTCCTATGCAAAAAGTGGGAAAAGTTTTTTCTCGCATCTCACAGACACCATTGCTTCTGTCCATCACTTCCTCCTCCCTTTCTGATATTTTCAAGGAAGGTAGGTTTTTTGGCATTTATTCCCATTTGGACTTAAGTCCCCCCCTTAATCCTGCTCAAATTTTTCACTCACAAACATGCCTCTGTGTAAAGGAAAGCAAATAGCAAAACTTGCTCTGCAGGTTATCTGTGGGATATAGATGGAGGACTGCCTGATAAGGGTGAACTGCTTTGGTTATGCAGGCTTCCAGAAAAAAAGGACTCCTTTGTGTGCTTCTCAACATTTGCTTTATTCCATGAATAAGGCTAAAGCATGACATTTATTTGCTTTGATGTAGGAGAAAGTCTTTTGCACAATAAGAGTTGGAGTTACAAAAGTACCTCTTTTCCTGCAGCAGCAGTATAAGAATCCATGGAGCAAGACTGGGAGAGAACAGAACATGTAGAGGATCATTCAGTTTTATTTAAAGCAAGGAAATTAAGGTACCCCAGAGTCATACATGTAATTGCATATACTTGGTCTTCTGTCTTAACTGTAATTCATTGAAGGGAATTTATAACAGGAAATACCTACCCTGATCCATCCTTGACATCCTTGGCTTGGTGTATCATCAGCAGGGAAGTAACACTTCGATAATTGAAGTAATCCTTCAATATGTATTCAGAATGATAGATTTGCCACAAGTGAGTGATTTCCTATTACTGCTGCTCATGTGCAAGCTTACAGGCTTGTTAAGCCTCTACCCTGGTGCCTGCCAGAGGCTGTCTTTGGTCCTTAAGGATTAGTCTTCTCCAAACACAACAACATGAAGCAGACAGCCTAACAGACTCCTGACAAAGCAGCTTTCCATGCCTGTAGTTGCAGGTTTTGAGATGCTTCTTGGAGATCCTGCAGAGCTTTGAGCTATTTTCCATTGGATACACTCAAGGGATATATATGTATTTTAGTTTAGTCTTCCTCTACCCATTGGTGAGAATTTCTTCAATATTATCTAGGAATCGTGGAGTTGCCTCCCCAGTTTTCAAAAAGAGTTTAGATAAAAATGCAAACTTTTGAAAATGAAAAAGGCTGTTCTCTCCAAATGGAAAACATAGTGAGGAATAGTTATGAAAGATCTGTGGAAGAAATGTCAGAAACAGATTTTTTACTACGTTCTCTTTAAGATCGAACTTAGACATAAGCACAGGCAGATGTGAGGTTATCTGGCTGGCTGTAGCCAGGCCTTCTCATCTTGGGTGAGTCTGTTAGAGAGCTCTTCCTTGCAAAAAACCTGCTAGTGTTTTGTGACCCTTTGTCTCTTCCAAAGCTGCCACTCAGATATGACTTCTGTACTCCAATTGCACTGCTTCTGTCTAGTTCAGAGGATGACTTTTTGAAGATCCATTCTCTGTATTCTCAGGCTATTCTCTCCTCTTTCAAATGCTGCCACCTGGTCTGTCTGATGAGCAGTTTATAATTAAGTGGAAATTCCCTCTCCATCAGGGTTGCACTAAGCTGATGGGGAGGGAGTCACTGTCACCAGTGTTGCTCTTGCACTTGCACGGACTGTTTGTGAATATGTGACTACTGTGTCCTCTGAAAATCCTATGGCAGAAAATTGTGGCTCTCTTGAATTTAGTAGAAGCCACAAATGTAGGGGAAGACTTGACTAGTGCAAGGGCCCTGTTAGCTTTCTGTTGTTGGTGAACCTGTTGTGCAATGGCAAGGGAGCTTGCTGGAGGGCATAGTATCAATTAAATCTTTGGTGAGTGTTTTTATCTCTGTATCTTGCACATACAGCCAATAAGACTTCCTTTTTTTCTTTTTTCCTTTTAACACAAGCAGCTCTTTGCAAAGCTAATTACTCTGTTCTTTCTTGAAAAGGAAGGTGGAGCCCCTGAACTGGCTGTTCTCTGCCAGTCAGAATAAACAGATTAAAATCTTTGAGAGCTCTCCTCCTTTGTCATGTTCTTTAGCTGCCACTTCTTGGGCCGGGGCAGCCTCAGCTGGAAGTGTCCAGCTTTGTTAGCCCTTTGTTTCTCTGATCATCTGAGATCTACAGGACTGTGTATTACCAATTTATAGGGACAGAACAGAAAATGTGCAGGTGGGGATGCTTTTGTGCCTCAAATGGCTTGTGGGTTAATGTCCAAAAAGATGCTGAAGTCTGTGGAAAAGACTATAAGTGCTGTAAGTTATTGACATGTGAAAATACAGGGATAAAGAGGAGGACTGATGGGTGGAGAGGCCCTCTTTTCCAGCAGGATAGTGAGTTTGCATGAAGCTGTTATCTCTCTTGGTGGGAAAAGACTTCTGACAAATAGAGAACTGAAGCCAGGCATGGTTGGGTGACCTTGCTTTGAAGTGACTGCTGCGATCTGGATACTCGTTTCCTCTGCCTTCATGATGGCAGGACAAATGTGTAAATTTCTGCTTGCTTTGCCAAAGTAGAGCCATGAGCCTTAAAACCAGAAGCTGTGATCCTTAAAATGAATTCTGTGTAGAAGGAAACAGCTTGTGAGCTTCTGTACTGCCCTGGGTTCTGGCTTCAGCTGGAAGGCTTTTCTTTGTGACTGACATGGGCAATGGGCTGAGCCTCACGGCAGGAACCAGAACTGCCTGACACACAAGGTGCTGGTACAGCAGAGCAGGTGAGCCTGCCTGCTCTGCATGTGGGCAGAATCCCAGAGGCACACTTTGCTTCTTTCTGCTCTCCTGAATTGTCTTGCCAGATTGCATCATTACCCATCCCATAGTCCCCTCCCATCCTTTGATCAGATAAGGCTTACCAAGGGATTCCGCTAAGCTTTGGAAGCATTCAGTGACTGGTGTCTTGGACAGTGATGCTTGCAGGTGCATGAAGTTGGAGAACCACCTCTCCTGTGACGGAGGGACAGGAAATCTCCGTGCACAGGCTGGGATAAGGAAGCTCCTCTGCCCACGAGTGCCTGAGTGCAGCTACCCTCCCTGCCTTCAGGCTTTTCCACATGGACTGACTTGTTTCTTTGGAAGTATTGGCCAAGGGTTCCCTTCACATAATTAACTGACAGTGATGTGCTTTGTTTCTTCAGCTGGCACAGACCTGCTGAGTTCTGCTGAGATCCTTCCCAGGCAAGATTTCCTCTTGCTCAACATGTCCCAGAATGTGTTGCATTAGCAAGCTTCCATTATTTGGTGTTTTTTTGGGACCTCCAATCTTTTCACACCACCTTTAGCCTCTGCTACATGTTTGAATCTCTTCCTTCACCATGAAAGTCTCATGTATGCCTCCTCTCTTCTAAGCACCTTCTGCACTCTCTCCTGCTTACTTTTCCCCAGCCTTGCCCCCCAAATAGCCTGCAGCCAGCCCTCTCAACAGGGCTGGTTCTGTGCTTTGCTGTTCATACTGCATTGCAATATGGTTCTGCAGGCTCTTCTCCTGTCCAACAGGCATCTGCCCAAGCTGTTAGCATTCAGTTCTGTTCTGCTTTTGTTTTCCAGCGTATAGAGAATATGTGAGCCACCTCAGTATTCCCACATGGCTCTCCCCATCTTAATGGTAGTTTAGGAAACACTTAATGTGCCTTGTGTGCCTTACCAGAGGAAGCTACTACAACCCCTGTGCAGGTAGAGGTTCCTCCACTGCACACCTGCAGGCATATCCTACCTCAGTTGGTAAGGGACTGGCTGGAATCTGTGTTTCCAGGTGCTCTGGAAGATACCAAACGAGCAGGTATATGGTAGAAAGTAACAGATCCTGTTGGGCTCTCTAGGCAAGTCTCTCGTTAGTTAACATTAATCTTGTTAATTAATTAACACGGCTTGTTAGGAAAAGATGGTTTATTTATATACAACAACTTGTTTCAACTCATTACTTGTAGTCAACTCCTTTTGATAAGTTACAAGAAGGATGGTTAGATTTAGGGCAAAACAATCAAAATTTTGTCTTGTCCTGCAAGGTTGGAATACATCCTAACCAGTAATAGTTTCAACAGTGTCGTTGTTCTGCTCCATGATTATAAATGAGTAGTTAAGAAAGTCAGATTTCAATTGGCCAGCAGAGGTTTTAACCATGCACACATCTAGATTAATGACTCCGGAGATTGGGGATTATCAACTGTTACATAATAGCAGACTTTTTTAAAAACTGGAACAGGACTGTTAACAGATGCTGCATTTGCTAAAGAAACCAGATTGCCATGTAATGCATCCAGAATGTGTGCTTTGTTTGGCAGAACCATGCATGCGGATTGCTACTTTCCTTTGCCTTACCTCTAGTGATAGCCCACTGCTGATCAGACAGGTGAATCA